TCTTTAAACCTGAAAGCACTTTTGTTTGTTATATATTCCAAAATACCGCCTACCAAACCTTTTTAGTTATCGGCAATAGATGAAAACATAATTGCTTTACTAAGAATTACTTATCCATTGTAATAACAGTTTAATTAATCGTTTCCGAATGAATTAGTTTTCCATCTATTTTCTATAAATTTGACTGTCATGTTACAGTAATTCTACTGATGTATATTGGACTACGATAGACAGAATCATAGTTTGCTATTGGGTTTAAATAGTAATTACATGAGCCTTTCCTGATTTCATGTCTACTGATATCAAATCATCAATAGAATACCGTTTAGGCTCGTTTTTAATGAAAATTGACCTGCAACTTAGATATTCTCTATCCATTTTTTGTTGTCTCTATCAGCCATGATTTCAATTTATTACTGCTAGTAATATATTTAATAGGATAATTTTGAACACATAAAATTAGCTGCTCTAATGTTTATCAAGCATAACCGGAGATTACAGTACTCAAAAACAAAATTCCAACCTCTCCTCTAGATTAATTACTAAGTCAGCTGCTGGAGATATACTAAAACCTGTGAAATAGACATTTACCTATGATCCATTTACTTTCGTATCAATCACCAAGGGACTATTGATTAATATTAAGAAAAAGAATCATTTTGATCTGAACTAGCTCTATTTATGTACTCTTCGTTACTACTAGTAAAGTAGTCAGTACAATTAGCAACAGTATAGTGTCACACCACTAGTGACAAAGTAGTCTACACACGCCAATCCTTGCGGAGAACGCCACTTACTAACTTAAAGAGGCGAGATTAGCTATATCACCAAATAATTCAGTTCCAACGACCGAATACTATGATATAATTATAGCGTCACAGATGATGTAGACGAGAAAGTCAGAGATTTACTATCATTTAATACTGAAGAAATCTCGGCATCCAATAACATATAGCTAGATGAGTAATGAACTACTTAATTCATGGACTACTATAACTGCCATGTATTACTGCGCATTTGATCCGGCATTTTTAACTATCAAATTACTGTAGGCTCAATTGTATAAACTTGGTATAGACAGAATTAGTTCGAATGAATTGAAGCAAATCAAAGCGGATTTAAATTATTTTAATCTACTAATCCTTTTTTCAACCATGCGATTACATTGATTATATAGGTATGGTAATGGATGAAATCGGTTTAAGTTAAGGTTCAAGCAGTATAAATATTTCTCCTTCATACTGAAGTCAAATCATTTTATCAATATACATTTTGCGTAATCAATTCGGATTGATTAAACAGAATTTGGTATAGATAGTATCAGTGTTAAGTTAAAGTAATTTCAGACAGTACCGTATGGGTAGGAAGCTGTACTAGCTTGAACCCATTCCAATTTCTGTTTCATATTCAAAATCGAATCATTGCAAATCAGTAAGCGTTTATAACTATCAAATCGCCTTGGACTATATATATATATATACCATGGGATTGGTATAAATGGAATCAGTTTAAATTATGGTAAATAGAGATAGGATGGCCAGCTAGCAGCTGTTTCATAAATCCTTCTCTTTCATATTCGAATCAAGTCACTGGAAATCGACAAACATTTTAACAATCCAATCACATATGATTATAATTATATCGGTGCGGTATAGACAGAATCGATTTAAATTAAAGGCAAATTTAGGTAGGCGAGAGTAGCAATCTGTAGCTAGTATAGATCCTAGTCGGTTTCTCTTCTTCGTATTCAAATCGTTTTCTTACCGAACGTTTTATACTAATCAAACACGTATAATTTAATTAATTAGAACTTGTATAGACAAAATCAGTTTAAATTAAAACTTAAGACAAATCAAAGTATGAGTAGAATAGATTAGAAGGAAGTCCTTGCAGGCAAGCAGAGACTTTTTTTAAGCAAGAGCATAGTAAAAGGCTTCTTACGCTGTTCTATAATTTCGCAAGCAGCTGAGAGTGTAGTATAAGCTATACTGTATTTTATATTACGTTAATAAGAAACGCGAATCAACTACCGCACATCTAGGCTTTTATATTTTGACCAACTAGCTTCATGTATAGCTAACCTATCGTTAAAGTAGCATCATTGCATGTTATAAAAGTGTCTCATCATAACTATCTTAGTCAAATGGTATTTTCTATAAGGTTTTTATAACAAGATTTTAGGAATAGTAGAACAATAACTAATTACTACAAGAATATAGTCTAAAATCTAAAGTATTCCGGGCGCAAATCGAAGTGAAGTCTCTTCTTCTCGTGAGCTCATCTCTGAAGTTCTTATATACATTTTATTAAATCCATTTCTGACAACTTGATTAATCTACAATTAGACATGAGTCATCAAACAAAATACTTTTCTCTAATAGTACATCGTTATCTTCTATTGTACAATCTAAATCATTGTACATAAGAGGTTACTTCTCTTCTATTAACGTCTAGCCCCTTTCTCCGAAGGGCATCTTAACGACTACAGTGTTTCTTGCCACATAAATCTTGTACCATAGTTAGTCAACTGGCTAGTATTAGTCATCAACAATTTCTAATATAGTAGTTAGCAATCATCTAATATTAGCTTCATGATAATATCTATTCAGAATAACCTAACTATATCAAATGTAGCTATTAACACAATCAAATATAGCTATCCTTATAATCAAATATGGATGAATCACTACACCGTGTAGTAATTCAAGCCATAAACTTTACGGTTTCATGATAGTAAATTACCGTAGTTCATTTAAAAACTCTCTTTATTCTACATGATATCGAGTTTGTCGATATTGATCGTCTTGTAAATTTGGCATTCTAATATCAGCTAATAAAGGGTAAATTGATCGTTTTCGGTACTAATTAGCTGATAACTTGGGAAATATGAAAATTGAAATTGCTCTGCAATACTTACGTGCAAGCAGTAGTAATAAACATGCTAAGATTATCCTGCGTTTTGTGTTGATTGATTATATTATTAATTGGATCCGTTTAAAATTCTTAATTAATGGTCTTTGAAACTCATATATAATGTAATTGACTACAGACAATCATGCTAGGATCTGTCTTGCTGTTGTAGCATTATACCATTGTAGCTATTGTTTTTATTTTAACGGGGATAACTTTTAGAGGTCAGTGTATCAACAGCAAAGTATGAAGGTAATAATTCGGAGTAGTGTAGTTACAAATCTGTAGTAAAGGACTAAAAGCGCAGTCCTTTACAGCTTTTAATATGAAACTATTATTATTTTACTATAGAAAATACCTAGAAAGCGATAGTATCCTTAAGGTTTACCCTGCCAAATCAGGATGTCGCTATCTTTTCTTCTTCGCTGTTTTACAAAGTTTTATATAGATTACTATAGGAATGACTTAAGAGCAATTGCCTAATCTAAAGAAAGGGCGTTTGATAGTCTATTGAGAATGTAAATGAGTTTGACTTCATCAACTGTTAATACTAACGTCAGAAAAGTAATCATAGTTGTGATATAAAATTTTTTGATAAGCAAATAGGTGATTTTATTAAAATTCGGATATTTTGGATTCAGTTTCCGTCGAAAGCGAGGGCTCTGCGAAGTCGTGGCTATAAATGATAGTGCAATCAGAAAATTTAGAGTAGAGAGTAAAAGAAGATAGTTTTGAAGAACTTGTTGAATTTTAAAGACCTTCGGGGTCGAATTGTTGTAAATGAAATCGTTCTTCTTTTGTTAGGTTGTTCAGTTGTTGACAGCTTTAGTTCTGTCGTTTTTCCATTATTTCTTCACTTACAATACTTAGGATTTAGTATCTGAAAGGTTGTTTGATCTCTCTCACTTTTATTAATAAATTGTTGTTCGGTTGTTTCTCCAATTTTTATTTGGTATCATAGTTTCGTTTAGTCGACCAGAGGCCACGAAAGTAGAATCAAAGTTTGTTCAAAGTTTTGTAGCTTGATCTCTACATTTTACATTCATAACAAATCCATTTGTATGTAATCTTCCTATCTTATCTCTATATTATCCCAATATTAGTCTTTCCATATTATTGTGACACAGATCAGCTCTATAACAAACTAACGAGAAGGCTGAATGTACAAATCTTATCCCTGAGCCACGTATCAGGGCACTAAATCTCTTTAAGTAACTCTTAAGAACACTTATCCCTCATTTTACGGATTGATAATAATTCGTCCCTCTCCTTCATCCTCGATTTCGAGTTGTATAGAAGACAGCTATCTCGGATGGTAAAGTAGAACAACTTCTTTAATAAATAATGATGAATGATTATATTGTAGTTATAGCATGTATTATGCACAAAACTGTAAACATGAGCAATATGCCGCCAAATCGACTGTCGACGCAAAAATAAATTAACATATGCAGGATTATAATAAAATGATGTTGATTATACTTAGTAGAATTATAAGGCAATGATCGCAAATAATTGAAGTTACCCAATATTCTTTGAGTAGAATTTCTCTAATTGATGAACTGTATAACAAAAGTGTTTAACATTAGTCTATCAAGCCATTAAGCCAATTTACGAAGTTATTAATATGATAGCAAACATCTTTTATACTTAACACTGCATTTTACTTAATCAATACTATAGTTATGCTAATGAGTAAGCTTCTATTTATAATAATAGCGATGACGCAGCTTATTGATATTGAAAAATAAATAAAGAGAAGTAAGGTATGGAAAGAATGTCTTCACGCTTTTAATCTATTACCGCTTCATTAATATCTAATGAATAATTTTCAAATAATTAGAATTGATGACCGTTAACTTCTTAGGGCGTATCCAATTTGGCCGATTTGAGCACATTGTGAACTAGCATAGATTTTGAAATCTGGACATTAAATAGAAGGCATCAGTTTGGCCCAATCATATACTGTAAAGCGATTACGATAATCAATCGCATCTCTATTAAAGTTGCAACCTCTATCGATTAAAGTACTAGTGTTTATTTCCCCCCAAATTACCGTGTATGCTTTCAGTCTTGTTATAAACTGAAACATGGGGGCATATGAGTCCACAAAATTGACTATCCTTGATGAAACTGAATCTATCCACAAAAAAGGTATGAAATGCTTTGAAGAAGGCGATTATGAACAAGCTCTATTACATTACAAAGAAGCTGTTACTCAAATCCAATCTATGTCCAAGAATAGTAATAATAATCATCACCATCAACTTGAACACGATATTTATCTGGACATAGCCGATTGTTATTTAAATCAATATAAACTGATAGAAGCTGATAAATGGAGAAGAAATGCGAAGATATTAGCCGAACAACTACAAGATAGAGTGAGATTTGCAAAGTGCTTTGATAGACAAGGGTGCATTAAAGAATTGCAAGGTGATTTGAATGGAGCTTTAAAAGATTTTAACAAATCACTTGGAATAAAATCAGAATGGTCAGAAAATGAAGATATCAATATGAGTGAGTCTTATCTTAACATTGGAAGTATTTATGATAAGCAAGGCAAGTATGACGACGCTCTATCGATGTATAACAAGTCACTGAAGATTCAACTAACACAACTTGGTGACAATCATCCAAAAATTGCTGTAACTTATAGCAATATTGGGCAAGTCTATAATCATCAAGGCAAGTATGACGACGCTCTATCGATGTATAACAAGTCACTGAAGATTCAACTAACACAACTTGGTGACAATCATCCAAGTATTGCTGTAACTTATACAAATATTGGGCAAGTCTATAATGATCAAGGCAAGTATGACGACGCTCTATCGATGTATAACAAGTCACTGAAGATTCAACTAACACAACTTGGTGACAATCATCCAAGTATTGCTACGACTTATCACAACATTGGTAGTGTCTATAGAGATCAAAGCAAGTATGACGACGCTCTATCGATGTATAACAAGTCACTGAAGATTCAACTAACACAACTTGGTGACAATCATCCAAGTATTGCTGTAACTTATACAAATATTGGGCAAGTCTATAATGATCAAGGCAAGTATGACGACGCTCTATCGATGTATAACAAGTCACTGAAGATTCAACTAACACAACTTGGTGACAATCATCCAAGTATTGCTACGACTTATCACAACATTGGTGGTGTCTATAGAGATCAAGGCAAGTATGACGACGCTCTATCGATGTATAACAAGTCACTGAAGATTCAACTAACACAACTTGGTGACAATCATCCAAGTATTGCTACGACTTATCACAACATTGGTGGTGTCTATAGAGATCAAGGCAAGTATGACGACGCTCTATCGATGTATAACAAGTCACTGAAGATTGAACTAACACAACTTGGTGACAATCATCCAAGTATTGCTACGACTTATCACAACATTGGTAGTGTCTATAGAGATCAAGGCAAGTATGACGACGCTCTATCGATGTATAACAAGTCACTGAAGATTCAACTAACACAACTTGGTGACAATCATCCAAGTATTGCTACGACTTATCACAGTATTGGTGGTGTCTATAATCGTCAAGGCAAGTATGACGACGCTCTATCGATGTATAACAAGTCACTGAAGATTCAACTAACACAACTTGGTGACAATCATCCAAGTATTGCTGCGACTTATCACAACATTGGTGGTGTCTATAATGATCAAGGCAAGTATGACGACGCTCTATCGATGTATAACAAGTCACTGAAGATTCAACTAACACAACTTGGTGACAATCATCCAAGTATTGCTGCGACTTATCACAACATTGGTGGTGTCTATAATGATCAAGGCAAGTATGACGACGCTCTATCGATGTATAACAAGTCACTGAAGATTCAACTAACACAATTTGGTGACAATCATCCAAGTATTGCTGCGACTTATCACAGTATTGGTGGTGTCTATAATGATCAAGGCAAGTATGACGACGCTCTATCGATGTATAACAAATCACTGAAGATTAAACTAACACAACTTGGTGACAATCATCCAAGTATTGCTACGACTTATCACAACATTGGTGGTGTCTATAGAGATCAAGGCAAGTATGACGACGCTCTATCGATGTATAACAAGTCACTGAAGATTGACCTAACACAACTTGGTGACAATCATCCAAGTATTGCTGCGACTTATCACAGCATTGGTGGTGTCTATAATCATCAAGGCAAGTATGACGACGCTCTATCGATGTATAACAAGTCACTGAAGATTCAACTAACACAACTTGGTGACAATCATCCAAGTATTGCTTCGACTTATCACAGTATTGGTGGTGTCTATAGAGATCAAGGCAAGTATGACGATGCTCTATCAATGTTAAACAAGTCACTGCAAATCTTTTTAGTAACGCTAGGTGAGAACCATCTTCATACTGCCCAGTTGTATCGAAGCCAAGCTGTAGTCAATTGTAAACTGTCGAATTATCGTCAAGCAATCGCATTATATCGAAAGTCCATTAACAGTCTACGCAATGTCTACGGAGAGAGTCATCCTCAAATTGTGGAGGATGAGAAACAAATTAATTACTGTTCCAATCAATTGCAAGAAAACGAGAAGGAGCCTTCTCCATTGGAAATAGCCAACATCATTCGACAGCTTTTGGCTCAATATGCAGACAATCAAACAGTCATCGACGACCAATCGCCATCATCACTAGGTGATTTGTGTAATTGATTACTACTGTAGCAGTCTTGCATCTGTCCAACACATTCTCATCTCTTGTTTTGATCAATAGAAGAAGAAAGCGAACACTCAAGTCAATATGGAAAAGCACAAGATAATAGCAGACAACAGCGCCAAGGTAAGTCTATATACAGCATTGAATCAGTTGACTAATTGGATAATATTGCACACTGACTTACTGGCTCAAGTTCGCAAATGTATCTGAATTCAATAAACGATCATTCCGTGTAAACAATGATATTCAAACATAAGAAAAAGTATAGTCTGTTCGAGTAGATTAGTCGGTAAAGCCAATACTATATTGCTAAATTGAAGGGGCAAGTTGATGATAAAATTAAGCGGCGATCGATTTTAATTACTGTTTTTACTTTAGATAAAAAGTTTTGAAGTAACTTTGTCCAAATACGACATCATCTTGAATCAATTTATTCATACTAGAGTTAAAACATGTAGCCAATGTCTCAACCATAAAGGGATCCAATAATTCAAACTCATTAAAACGCTACTTTTATGTTGTTTTATCACCGGTTATAATGAATGCAACATAAACAGTTCACGTGTGCAAATACATTACTCAAAACGAGTATAATGCTTTGGTTGACAACAGAACTATGTTTTCCTTCACTTAACTTAAATTGTATATGATGTATTCACGGCAATTCTTGATCATGCTTTTGATTAATCTAATTTGCAATTTTATATACGTCATAACGGTTCCAGGTAACAAGTCTATGACTCTTTATATCACCTATATCCAAACCTTAATAACTCTAAAATTGCAAATTAAATAGTCAATCGCGATTAGTAGACAGAGGTGTGTCTAAACATGTTCGTCTAGTCGAAAGGCTATCCATTCGTCCTATCCTTCATAGTTTTAAAATCGAATCTTTAGTTATTCTTCAATAACTAGACATAACCATTACTAATTAGCTATAAGGTTGCAATAGCTTATTCTATCAACTATAAATCGAACACCCATAAGTTGATAGAGCATTATCGTCAATATTCAGTCATTAGCAGATAATCATATAAAGAGAAATGAATTATTAAAAGGTTAACGTTTAGTCAGCATAACAAACAAATTTCATTCAAGTAATACGAATACAGAAGTAGAATAAAATCGTATAATAAATATTCACACAGAATCAAATCGTATTCTTGCATCTGCAACTATGACAATTCATGCTTCTAAAACTCGTCAATCAAGGGAAGAATAGCATGTACAGTATCAGCAAGGGAAATGCCTTTTTTATCATTTTGTATTCTAGATTTGTTCAATATCATTATTAGATGGATGATATCAATACTTCAAATTCTGGTCATCGTACATCATCAGTGACAAAGATAATAATATATAAATATAGAATTTTATTTGGTTTCAGCTTGACAACACTTAATATTCAATAGAATGAGCTTTGAAGTAGCTTTACACGATGAAAACTTTGCCAACCACCAAGATAATAGATCATTTTTAAATTGAAGTCCTAATCTGTAAGGAAACCTTATTATTTCTTTTCATTAAGAAACATCAATCATTCTTACCAATATAAGACTTGACAGCTTTCCAGCCATTAGAATTGAACGATCTTAAACAGAAAACAAGTAGTTATACGAATACATATAACGTGCAAAACGAAAGATCTAAATCAATGTTACTTCTATCAATTAATATGTTAGTAACGTAGTAAAGATATAACAGCTACATCATTATGTTTTGATTACTTTCTAAAATGCTTGAATCAACAAACGAAAATTGATTATATTTGAAATAATAATGTCGAAATAAACGAATTAGCATCGCAATTATATTATGCAGTAGCAATATAAGTTGTTGCTTATGCATGCAGTTTTTATTAATTAAATACGACTACCGAACATGCAATATTTACGGTAGGTGCTATTGAACCGGGTACAGAATATAGATCGAGTAGTGGTTATGTTAGTTTTTTGCTGTAGATGAAAACAAATTGATATCCAGTTTATGCATTATAATAATAATTGGATTTCGTAAAGCATCAGTGAAAATACGTGCATGACTTACACATACTTCTTTATTCTCTCTATCCATCTACTCCCCTTAAAAGAATATGATCATTGCATGCATCTTTAGAAAGTACGAATAGTTCAATGTTGTTAATGCTTACGATATTAGTTACAAGTTAACCAAACAACCTGTACGCGATTCATTAGATTCTACTTGTGCACTCCGGCTACTTTTACATACACGATACATATACTGTACAGCTCAAGTTTGTTATATTTTATATTTCGCATTCGATCAATATGGCAAAGTCGAGCATTTACAAGCTATCATTTAATATCGGTTATTAGTTTCATTTAAGAGTATATCTTGTTTCATTGTTTGTATTTCAATTTATCTGCGATATTAATGTAACGTTATAGATCCAAAGGAGCACTTTTTTCAAATTGCAAATACAATTGGTTCGGATTGGACAAGATTGGCTGCAACTTTGGATCAATCCATCGATGTTGATAGTATTAAAGATGAAGAAAGTAAGGTTTTTGACCGAGCGATGAAAATTCTCAACAAGTGGTGTGAAAAAAATTATCCAAATGTAAATGTTGATCAGCTTCAAGCAGCTTTACGACAAATAAATAGGAACGATATTGTTTTGGCTATCAAGCCTACCACAACATGAAAATATTGTTGCGTAACGGCATATTTTTCAGTGTAATGCTTGTCTTTCGAATAGTAAGTACGGTGTTATAGATTGAGAAATTAATTATAACTATTAATCCTATTAAGAACGGAACTGTATTCGTACATGTGGTCGATATTGCGCTTTATTTAACAACTACTTGAAATCGATTAAATTCTATTTCTTTATAAATGAAGTAAAAAACTTAAGCAAATTTAATACTTTTTACATTCTGTATTAAGACTATCATCAGTCATAAAGTAATTTTTCAGCTAATTTGTATATCAATTATCGAGTGTAGTGTGCAGTTGTACAGCCTCTACGAGATGAAAGAGGAAAACAAACTAGACTTGATTTGTTAAATGCAATCAAAAATTTACTAGTATTAATTTTACTATTGCCTTCTCTTTTTGCATACTTATTTGGAGTCTGGTTGTATCTATTTTACGGACCCTATAATAAATCAATTTACCAATCTTCCGAAATAGCATAAATTTTAGTCATCGTATATCAAGAGATTCAGCAAATTAGCATTATGAATATAAACAGTACACGTATATTCGTTCTGAATTCTCGTTCGACTGCTTTGGCTTAAATATCGTGTAGTAAGCTTATTCTAAGGCTCCAACATAAATCAGACTATCGAGATTTATATAACCGTGTTCAATTTTATTACAAGGAAAAATAAACCGTAGCTGTTTCTACAATAAACTAGCAAGAAGAAGAACCCCTCGATTTACTCGATGCATATGCTTATAAACCTAGCACATGTCCTATTAAGTAATTACAGTGAAAATCCGATTCCTTTAATGATGTTGCCTCATGAAAATATTGTAGCAACCTACAGTACACTCTAAGCCTGAATTTAGACTGTACTCTAAGCATGATTTGATATCGACAGTGCCAGTGTGGCGAGTGGGTTCTAAGCCATTTGAGTTCACAATCACTAACTCAAAATTTAAGTTATCAAAATGGAGCAAATCTCTAACTCGACACTATTAGGTAGACACCGTCTTTAGTATCAACGTATCGCTAGTGCTACTGTCCGTTGTGTATATTTAAAATAATCAGATTATATGCTAGATGTCGGTATAAACTACCGTATTTTTATCTTAGTTTTAGTTCTATTTTTTCCTATTAATGCATCTAAAACGAAATTTAAGACCCTAGTATGTACAAGAAAACAAGTTAGAATTCCTATTTATATAAGAGCGGACATAAGATTGTTATAAACTTCGTCGAAATGAAATTGAATTTGTCTTTAAACCGATTGGACTCTTAAACTGGAATGAAAATTGAAGAATTAAAATCTCTTTATAAAACCGGACGCTATGAAGAGTCTCTCAAAGTTTCACCTATCACTGATCAATCTTGTCAAGAGGATAACAATGGATCTGGCCTAAATTGATATAATATTTGCATCATTTGTCGTTTTAGGGTATTAGTCACGACAGATCGTTAAGATGGATGCACATTTGATAATTGCTGACTTTAATCTTTCCCTACAATTCTTACAGTTGATCTTTTTATAAATCAATATCAATAATCACTCGTAAGCATAATATCTAAGTCGATACATATTAATATATGGGCTAAGTAAATTAATCGAAAGCACTATTTTTGGCACTATGGCAGAATGATTTCAGATACCTATTTATATATTCACTGCCTAATCCTATCCATATTTCAGGTGTTTCTGTTTTTACGCCATATTTTCTTATTCGTCTCATAACAGATTTTTATGCATACAAGTATTCTGATAACTACGGTAATAAATTACTAATATTCATATCTCCTACTTCTATAATTATTTATCTTGAATTGTATTATTAAGGACTAGATACTGAAGAAATCCAATTTCTCATTCATTTGCTTTCGTCAATATTAAATGATCATGATTGACTATAAATGTAAAGTCCAGTATATTTATACAGAGATTATGCGATGCATTAGATGCTAACTTTGGACTGATGTCATTTATTTCTATTGTGGTGGTGAACTGTTTAACAGTATTTAACGCTAGATTCCTTATTAAATTACTTCCTGATTTACAGACCACACGCATATTCAGCAACTGCTGTATTTATTCGTGAAATTGAATAATGTCAATACGGGCTTTCTATCGATCTCAGCCTGGATGTTTATCAATGCCGTTAGATTGATGTCGTATTGACTACCTTGATTAATAATATGAACTGTTAGTTATTAACGTATTATAAATTGTAAATAATTCGCAGGTTATGATCTTTTATTCATGCCAAAACTTGCATCATGTACATTTCAGAGTCTGTAGAGTGCAAGTTAGTGTATTATCATTTTAGTTCTCTGAATTAAAACCTTTCTACTAATTAGGCAATAACCGGCTTTAAAAATATTTGGTAAATCTTTTAGTATTTACTGTAAGTGTTTTTGTATCATTAGATATCGAATCAGGTTTCAGTTATTATGTTCAAAAATTGTGCTAAAAACGACGGAATAGACTAGATAAACTGCCTTGAATATTGGACTGAGAAAAAACTTGCCCCAAGGAAATGGAAGAACTAGGACAGACTTTCTCCAGCCATTTTCTTAGTGTTTCGCTGAGCCCCCCAGGTCTAAAAGTACAATTATTATATAGTAAGTTGTATTATCAAAGGGCAAATGTACCAGCGAAATATTACGATTTATAAATTGAATTGAATATTTTCGCAAAAAGGAAGATCGTAGGATGGAAGTTGATATTGAGTGGACATTTATTAAAGTTTAAAATATTTTTATTTCAGCTTATAAATAACCTCTTTATCTTAATCGATATTTAAAGTACCTTTCAAACTGAATGCAGTGGCTGCAATCTAAGCTATACGCGGTTAAATTAGGTACATATTTCTCCATATTTTTAACAAGTCCCTGTCGAAATATATTATCGTATTCTGCGACGACTATTAAAGCCGGCTGAGAAACCTAGAGATAGAACGCCAAGTACATTCATCCCTTATCATCATGCTTCATTTCAACAGTATGCTTAGTAAGGCTAGTAAATGGCGAAATTTTATCAACGACAGGTTATACGAAATGAAATGGTAACGATTAATCGCTGAAACTACCAAAAATAACGTAAGAACTCAAACTTCCAATACCTATCAAAATTACTGAATTTTGTAAGCCAATTGAAAGAAATATCATGTATCAGGAAATATAAAATTTACCTGTCTACCAATAAATTTAAGATTCCACTTCCAAGTTTGTGGATAGATGGGATAGTAAATTAATCCAGGTCTACGTTAAGATATCCATATTAGCACTGTATTATTAAAAGGTAATCTTTGTTGACTTCAATATAGTACATTCGTAAATCATTTTAAGTATATCTTTCGGCTTTCGAAGATTCAGCGTATGAATAGATTAATATTTGAAGCAATCTTATAAATTATCTGATTGGAATGGCCTTAAGTCGTAGAAATACCACTAATATACTCCTATGTACTTGCCTAAACAATTTTATCGCGTTATAGTCTTCAATATCTAATTTACAAACGACAATTCACCAGATCATAAATAATTATAAACTAGAAATGTATGATGTCAGTTTTGTATAATCTGAAATGTTTATTCAGGCTTGGTATTTTCTTTCTTGCATTGGAAAGTATTTTAAAGGCAATCAATGAGTTCTATTCACAAGCATTTGTGGGTCACTACCTGGTGGACAACTAGATTGACCAAATCCTCGTAAATCAAGGGCAATAGCTCGATAGCCTAGCTCGGCAAGATAGGGAATCTACAGTAAAATAACTCATAACAGTTAATGATGGCGGCTGATTATATAATTTAATATTATTTAAACAATACCATTAAAAATTATGTCTTTTAAAACTCTCTATTAAATAAGTAAATAAATATACCAAAATAGTGATAGCGAGTTACTCTTAGGCTAAGCCATATTTATAATTAGCAATATCAATTTGGTGCTGCTTAAATTTCTTGATATTAAATAGCAATATTAACTTAAAACAGTATGAATCCTAAATTACTACACCGTTATAATAGCAAATTAACAGCCATATGATGAATTCTATCTTGCCTGATATCTCCAGCTATACCAATAATGCGGAAAGCCATGGCATAAATAATCGGAGGACCATTCCCTTTTTCTACAAATTTAACTTTTATTCCGCTCTGACAATCGTCCATAACGGAGAAGGTTCATTTCAGTAGAATAACAAGACATTAACAAATATTTAGCCAGTTGTTAGCAGTTGGATCTAAAGTGAATACGCATGGCATAAATATTTGTTAATTATACTATTTAAGTAAGTTAAGCAAAACCTTGGTGACAACTTGGCCATGGATAACATTACTTTCAGTAGCTGCAGGAGGTCTAGGTATTGTTTTGAGCTGTAATATTTTGATACGCATATTACAACCAGCAATTAATCTTGTAGGATAGCTTAATTTCCGTTATGAGCTACACCGACTTAATACTATCAAGTATTTACATTGACTTGAAAGATATTCTCTAATTTTTGTATGATTGTTGGCTGATCAACTGCCAATATTGCTGTTATTCCTATACTTTGGACTGCTGCTGCCTAGGCCTCAACGGCTTCAATTGAGATTGCCTATAGATGAAAAATTTTTACACGGGAAGTGAGATACTAATGTTGCTTAGATTGGTATTGCTAAAATCTACGAACAAAGGTAGATATCAGGGGCTATTTGATCTCTTATTATATTAATTATTAGAAGAAGAAGAAGCATTACACACACATACACACCTCCTCTGGCTTAAATCCCATCTGGTCGAGTGCATAGTGATAGATTTGTGTATCTGGTCTGACTAATTGAATTTGATTTGAATCGTAACAATAATCGAAATTTAATTTAATAAATAACTTCATCCTTGCAGAGGATTCAGTAGAATGGTAATCATTAATCCAAGTGTTGGCTAGATTTCCGAAATTCTTAGGCGAGTCATTGCTGGTTACTTCTCTTTCGCTGATTTTTCGCGGTTTACTTTGGCGACATTAGGCGGAGATCCCCATAAAAAGGTAAATTATGCCAAATTCTAGACAGTAGGCAGAGTAAAGTGAATTCTGGATTAAAAATAATTGATGCTTTCGAGTGTCCACTCTTCTAAGGTGAGTTATTGCTAAGCCACTTCATTTTCGGTTGGTCCTTCGCCGTTTGCTAAAAATCTTGATGACATTAGACAAAGATCTTTATAAAAAAAACAAAATGCTGATCGGCTACTATTCGTGTGTTTCTCTTATACTTCTTCATCGATTTACTTATAAGTTTCTGCTATAGTGGTCCTTTTTTTCTTTTTACCTCCATGGTTTATGATAATTAAAATATACTATGTTTGTGACATGATCTAAGCGCCAAACTACAGCGTTGTAGTTTATTAAGAGGAAAAACTAAGTATACTAAATCTTTTATTCTAACAGTATTACATCAACTGCTGCCATAAATCCTATACCTTCTATGCTTACAATGACAAATTTGGTAGATTTAAATCCTATTTTATTGTCTATTTACTTTGACGCACTGGGAATAGGCAAAGCATACACTTGTATGCGTGATGATTATAACCTTGGTACGTCATAGTCTCATTCCGTTTTAGCTAGCTTATAAAGCACAGGAGTACTCATCACTCCAAAGTATTTACATATAACGACTTTAAATCGGCTAAAATTTAAACAAAAGTTCGATTTTTTTCACTCTGCAAATCCCATCATCTACCATTTATTAAGACAGCAAGGCTAACAGGAAAGATTAGTATCAATATTTCTGCTTTAGATTTACCTATTTCTCATCTTTCTTTCAGGTTATATACTTTGATATATAGGTGTAAAGTTGATTTAAACTTATCGTATATCAACTGCAACGCTAGCAAGATTGGCGGTAAAAACGAACAATTGTAATAATCGTATGTTAAAAATAAATCGAAATCTATAGAAGCGAAATTTTAAAATAATTTAACTTATTATTACTATCAGCTACCGATTTAATAACTGCTGCACAGAAGCTTATTTTAAAGTTATATGGCATCTATTCTTTTTATAAAGAAGAAGTTTTCATCACGTCATCAACTAGTTTAGGCTACCAGTGTCACATTCGGGGATAAGCTAAAACTCGCCAAAGTTGAAGCATTTTTATGTGCGGTATAAAATTCAACTAAATCAGACGAGGGTAAAGTTTTGGATATTGATTCAGGACAAGTTGGTTAACCTTAGTCTCTATAGTAATCTATTCTTTAATTCGTGCCATATGAATATTTTATCCAAATAGATGCAACCAAGTTATTCAGTAAAATAATATAAAATGTTTTTATTCGCCATTTTATAAGAGCTACAGTAGTTGGAAAAGCTCATCAATTATATCGAAGCTGAAGTTATTAACTCGTAGAAAAGTCATTACTTACTGGATAGGATAAGCTTGCATTGCATTTCGATTCAGATTTTGCTTATTAAACCGTGCTTTAAAATTTTACATCACAACATCAAATTTGCTGGAACTCATGATAGCCGATCATGCAAGAGAGGGTAAACAATTGTGCGAGTAGATATAGATTTCAAACATTTTCAGCTAATGCCAACTTCACCTTAACATAACTATGTTAATTTATAAATTCAATTCTTGCGATAGGTCACTGCAGGGGAAGAAATTATGACATCGATTATTAACATCAACATTGACATAAGGATAGAAATGAAGTAAGTAAGACGAATTCTGTCGTTTCCTATCATTATTCTTTATATTGATTTATATCATCAATAAATTTTTGTAATATCCCTATTTAAGAGTATATTTTGTAATTATAACTCATTAAAATCTTTCTATCCAATTGATTACTTTGATAAGATTGCCTTACATTTCATATGAAGCATACTCAATACGAAAAAGTTGTCTTCTTCGTTCGCTACGGCACTAGCTAATAGCGTTCGGTGAATCCCATCACTGCCACCAATTATGTCACAACCGAGATTGCAACACAAAAATTAACGGGATTCTTTCCTCTAAAATAGTCTTAACTATCTAAGCAACTAACTCTAAGCACTCTTTAATCTACCAAACTTAGGTTCAAGTCTTAGACGATAGAATACTCACGCTAAAAATCAAAACTTTACTCTAAAAGCTATTTATTGAAATGACCGATTGAACTCACAACTTACAATCTACTACTAACCGCTGATAACGGTCTGTTATCGACTAACTTATCAACTCCCTCAATTAAGAACTTTGAGGCTTTTATATAGACTCACAAACTTCGTTGGTGTAAAACAATAATAAATTTATAGCCAAGTCTACATGCTGAATATAGCAAGAATCACAACACACTTTCTATGGCATTTCATAGTAGTTAATTAATGGCTAGGTGTTAACATATGATTCATTACTCAACAAAATTATATCATTGATGATGCTATAATTAATTGTCACATACAGCTTTTAAATGACTTAATCGAAATTATAGCTTCATTAGCTAGTTTTAATGCAATGCAGTTGTGCCTGGCTATGAAAAATTGATTGCCGTGCCCTTGAACTGAGTTTTGTCTAACAAAGTGTTTAATTTAGAAAAAAAATCTATTTCTTGATTCTATTCTAGTGTTACAACTAACTAGTGCACCTCCAACAGGTAGATATTCAAATTTTTAGCTGTTAAACGACCACCTATTCATTAGTTGATAGCATAGCTTGCAAATTCCAAAAAGTGCTTGAGATGAAATTTGTCCGGCAATCGTGATATTAATTAGCTGATACTTTTGGCAACCATTTAGAAAGGATACGATTTAACTCAGCAGGGCTATAGTATCGATTGAAAGAACGTTGCATAATTACTAAATAATGCAATTACAAGAAGATATAAGCAACAGTATTGCATATCTTAATAAAATTGAATAATGTATTATACCATTCTGACTGCGTCCAGTGGCCACACAGTAGATTGGCACGTGTTAAATTTGGTACATATTGCTCCATCCCTTTGGTCAACTCTGGTAGCAAAATAGGATCGTACTCGGCAGTAATCATCAATGAAGGTTGATAAATCTAAAGATATTCAGAAAATTTCAAATGCAGAGTTAGTTATACCTATCGGTATAAAATATTAAAACCTCTTACGGTCAAAAAAAAAGTCATGATGTGCTAAATAAAGCGAGAAAAATGTTCTTACTTTACTTTACCGCAAAGTTTTGATAAGCTATTTAACAGTGTTACGGTGTTGCCTTGTCATTAGGATAGTTTAATAAGTACAGCAGTAGCTAGTATGGAGAATATCTATATTTGTAGTGCTAGGTAAGATAAGTAATGCCTTAACGTGGATATTGTTTGTGATAGTTCATTGCGTATTTGATATTGATTGTTATTGTGTGATAGATAGCAGTAAGATGATTCAAGTTTTAGTTAATGATAGTTGGATTAGACAACCTACGTACTTAGATTAAGATTAAGCATGAATAAGACATTCAAAATATTTACAGATAGAAAAGCTATGTAAGGAACATCTCAGTTCGAGATATTTCTCCTAGTAAGGTATAATAATAATAATACTATTGTTGTTTACGAATTAGACGGTTCCTATATAAACGGAAATATTTGAGTGAAGTGGCGTGGTAAAAACTTGTAGATGTACCTTTGCTAATAAAAGTTTTATCTTTATAGTATTTTGCTGCGAGTGTTTAACGTTAAGTAAAAGGGCGTTTAAGTCAGTAGCTCCTTATAGACTTTTACTGTACGTTGCCTTGTCGCACAAGTGAAATTGTGACAAACAGTAATAAACTATTGTATCGCTACGGTTTAAAATAAAATAGACTCTAAATTATACCATATTTCACTAATAGAATTATCTTTGACTCCATTTGAGGCGCTTCAAATGAGTGCTTACTACTGTTATAATTATGAAATTTATGTATATCGTCTGGGATAGGTTAATTAAACAAAGCATATTCTTTAAATCCCTAACAAGATGTCGATAGCGATGAAAAGTCGATATTCAAATGGTAAATCTGTTAAAATATTCAAAGAATGATTTCCTATATGTTATAAAACTTCAGTTTATGGAATCACTACAACAGTTAGAATATCATGGGCATCTGTATTAGTCCTACGTAAATTGATTAAGACGATAAATGTACGCTATGAAAATCGGCATAATAACGTACTCCATATTATAATGATATAAACTGAATCTATAAATCATGTTATAGTAAAATAGGCTGAATGGTTTCATTAGCATAGACGCTATTAGTAGTAAAAAGAGAAAATATAATATTACCATATATCGCTCGAGACTGCGTAAACACTTCCAATTTCTTGGTTCATTCCGATACCAATTTAGCGGGTAACTAAAGACAGAAATGATCAATTAAATCACACCGTTTATGATTATGCTAGAATAGCGAAAAAGCTGCAGCTCTTTGCTATAATTTCAGTATTATTTATTTACTGGAAACCATGCTTTTTGAATTTCCCCACATAGTAATTAAATTCTTTATCACTCATGAAAGGACACTTGGGCAATTTCTCCGGTAAGCCAGCCAGTAATCCACCTATTAATAAAAAAAGTAAGATTAGCTAAACAAAGGTGATCTTTTGCATCTAAATAATGTAACCTAAATTGAATAAATGATGAAAACGATCATTTAAAATATTAAATGTTGAGATTTTGCAGTATCTTTATTAATTCTATTTTGGATTATAACGTTAAACTGTTATAATTTATTACTAACGAAGTAACGATGGCAAGGTTTATCATAAAGTTCTCATAGCAAAATATACAATATTAACGTTTATTTACGATATTTATAGTAATATGTTGGTACATTGTACGTGATGATCTATCTATATCTCTATTGATAATAATTTTATTGATCATAAGAGCAAAATTGTTATAATTTACTAATAACAATTGTATTGCTTATCCTTCAATTCTCACGGCAAAGTAAATAGTATTAACGTCCACAAGATTATCAACTATAACATATACTTTCGGTACCTCTTTTCCTGACATTAGAAGTCTCCAATTTGATACCTGTTGTATTCTATCATTTTGTATACGATTAAATAGCATTTTATTAAATGTATCAGTATGATGCTATCTTAGTGAGCACCATTTGTATAGATAATGAACATAATATAATACTATATATAAATAGAGCTTATGATGATAGGAGGTATACCTTTGGTGTTGTATCTGAGTACAAATAGCGAAGTGTACGATCAACATCCTTTTCCATTTCCGTTTCAGCAACTCCCTAATTTGCAAAAGTTATGGGAATAACACAATGTAAAGCAAGAGAAATGTCAGATAACATATTCAATGAACGCACTACAAAATAAAATAGTATAGAGTGCTAATGGAAACAATCTCTTAATTTCTGTCTATGGACCCTATTTGAAACAAGAATATTACTTAATGCGGTACAATATTAATTATGTTATCATTGTATACCTCATCTTGTAAATATAGGAAGTAGTCATATTGTTTTGGATCTGGTTGCAGTAATTGTATAAAATTATACTGTGGATGAGGTGGGAAGTATCCAACGTTCAAGCTTGCAACAGCTCTAAAACGGGAAAAAGAATATAAATTTTATGCGTAATAGCGTTAGTAAGGTTTTCGTAAATCACTTAGCCGTAACTATACCAAAAAATAACGCAACTGAAGTTGCTGCGCTAATTCATAAATTACAACTCTTCCTATTTCCGATGTTGTCCAGCTTACTTGATACGATCAGGAAAATGCAGTGCTGTATCCCATACCACAAAACTACCCCAATCATGGCCAATGAGGACAGCTTGTGGAATATTCTAAAAGAATCATGGCGACATTTTAGCGTTGAGAACATAGAAGCCAGTGTAAGCTAGTCGTGCATATTTATCTTTAATCATAACTTACCAAGGTATCCATTAAATCGATAACATCCTATAAGAGAATATTGGTAGTAGTTAATTGTGCTATTAACTGTAGTCATCAATTATATGATTCATTGATACGGTAGATAGAGGCACTACAGGTACTGTTTTATACATATATCACCGATTTAGCAAAAGATTAGATATGTAGAATGAGTATGTACCCGTATGAACTTAATATATTGCAAGGCCGCGATCAAAGCGCTAGCGGTCTTACCTGGTTAATAATTCTCATAGTATAATCTTCAACATCTGTTAATAGAAAATAGAATTTTTTGTGATATAGAAGCGCCAGTAATTGTAGCATTACTAAAATGACAATAATAACAAACTAGATGGTATTCTCCTCACTTGGCGGCTGATCAGATTCTCCATACCCGCGTTGATCTAAGGCAATAACGCGGTATCCAAGCCTTGCAAGAAATGGAATCTATTATTTAATGATAAATATGGAAAGGTATATAAGTATTGAGAATGCAGATTTAGCTTTCAAAACCATTAGTAACTATCCAATTTTCGGTAAAATACTACTTAATACCAGGTATTTGCTCGTTAGTGATGCATACCTGATATCTCCATGAATACCAAGATTCTGGAAAGCCATGGCATAAAATAATCGCAGGGCCATTGCCTTTCTCAACAAAATGAATCTTAACGCCAGTCTTCATAATTAAATACAGAAAAGAATTAATAATTTAACTTTCCGTAGTATTTAGTTAAAGAACTAAAGTGATTGTTGAACGCTTAATAGATCATTTTTAAGGAAAGTTACTTTATTTCTATCTAAAGTTATTATCTTTTAGAAAAATTACATATGATAATTATTTGAAAAATTTTTGAATTAGATCAAGGTAACGATATCTTAATTATCTTTCATTCTACAGCATTTTATTATATCACTTACAGTTGTAGTGAAATAACAGTGCGTTACACTGTCTGGGTTGCAGGCAACCGGCCTGGATAACTTGCTAAACTAAATGGCATTCAGTCAACAAAGGTATATTACTTAGAGAGTAATTTGTACTTTCAGAGGTTATCGTATCTTTAATATACTCACGTTAATACCAGTTAACTCGCTCAATTTTTTCAAGACTGTAGGTTGGTCTACAGCTACAATTTCTGTGATACCAAGGCTAGTTGCAAGTTTGCAATATGGTTCCATCGATTCAACTGAAATTACCTGAATGTCATATTATATTTATAAGAAGAAAATACTGGTGGTTATCAATAAGCAAACAAATAATAGTTATGATTTACATTTTTATGTCTTGCAGTAAAATTTACATGCTATTATGATACTATACTAGCATGTAATGTTCAATTGATATTAAAAAATGGAAAAAATGTCATGTAATATTAATATAAAATTGCCTCGTCTGCTTCAACATTTATCTCCTTAAGCGCATGTTGATAGAACTTAGGATCAGGTCTTGACATACCAACTTGACAACTCTCGAAATAGTAATCACATGTAAAGCGCAAATACATTTTCATACGAGTAAATTTATTTCCAGTTGGTCCGTCGATCAAACCAATATTGCCTAGAAAGCATACTTTATAGCCTGGAGATCAGAGAATAAAAGAATAGTTTTACGAACTAGTATTTGATATGCCTGCTCCTCACGAAAATCGATAATATTATGCCGTATGATTTAATATTAGAAGTAGCTTCCTTATGTATAATTATGAAAGATCATTTTCGAAATTTTTCCTTTGTAATTAGACTTACCAGCTTCTTGTAAATTAGAGATTGAGTCTAATACAAGTTGATTTGGCCTCAAGTAACCAATGCAATCGGCAAAAAAGTCATTAATATGAAAACTTTCTGGAAGTTGGACACCTTGAGCGATGGATGCTTCAGTAAGTTGTTTCTCAAATAAGGGAAGGAACTATAGTATACAAGGTAATAATTAATGATTAATCTAACATCAAATTTTCATTTAATTCAAACAAGGCTTCAAAAGCACTAGATTTACTTCAATCAGATATAGGTTGCCATAAGATTACATGGCTATACATTCTCAATTTGGAATATGCTAGTTTAAATAAGCATACTTCAGTAAAAGTAATTTGACCGTTGACTAATCTAGATGACGGCTTTTCAGGGCTATCACGCATGAATAATCCGAGAATAAAATTCCTAGTAGGTGTATAAAATTAATGAAGGTAGAAGGTATTATTAGTAAAATCGAGTCAATTTAAAGTCAATTCTTGAATGACAATTACATTTTCCTGTAGATATCGTATGCAAAAGCAGGATTTATTTTATTTTAGCAAGTTTAATGTAGAAAGAGCTATAAGTATGTTCTGATCATTTATGTTCTATAATCATAGTTAAGTTTTAATACAGACGAATGAATCAAGTATTACGGATATAGCAATACAAAGTAAGGAAACCTATACGATATAAGGTAACAAATTAGGAATGCCAACGTGTCAGAAAGTCCGTAGTAGTGTAGATTTTATTGTAATCATGAATAATTAAATATGCTATAAATAAATTGGAGAATGGATAAATTATTCTTTTTCTACTTCAGTTTATTATGTCGAGTTTGTGAGGTGGTAGAATTGAATCACTATGGAGAATACAATTTGTAAGTTAGGATATCATTTCTTTTTTCAAGAGGCATTAATAACTCTTTTCAGTTGGATTGAAATAACATTTATTAATGATGTGAAACATAACAAAGAGTTAACCATTCTACTATTTATTATCCAATGACAAGAGTAACCGTTAAAGTAAAGACATTAATGAATTCATTATTTTACTATGGTGATGCCTCTGTTTTTATTTCGAATATTGCTAATTCATATGAAGACCGTAAGCATTATGTAATTGACTTACTTTGGAAGACCATGATCTAACTCCACCTTACTCATCGTGAGCGAAAATGACGAGTACAAAACTCCATAGAAATCGAACATAACCACTTTATATTTCCTGTAGAATGAGGTAAAACATTAATTTACAGGATATCCATATACATCTTGATTATTACAATAGATTATCCAAAACAAAATATTACACAGTATTGCAAATAATAGCATGGCTTACCCACTCATGATGATGTAACTTCAAATTTGAGATCTATAAGATAAAGCAAAAGACTCTCATGAAGATTATAGTTGTATAGTAATAAGGAAACAGAGATAAATGAATTCTTAATGGTCAATTTTAAATAAGAATTACTTAATCTATAATATGACAGCATTGCTATCATAGAATCTTTACAATTATCCATAAAATTAGAAATAATAAGGAAATCAGATGGTTCTAGCATCTATCCAGTAATAACACTCCTTTTTATTTGCCCCAGTACGCTATTTTATCAGCATAATTACACGTACTACAAGCTATTACCCGATCAGCACGATGGTTAGCGATCGATGCCGATTGCTTATCACCACTATCGATTAACCATCTAAAATGACTCATCTTATCCACCTAAATCGATATTATCTACTTCAGTTAGACGACTGATATCGATTGGTTATCATCGTGTTATGATATCAGTTCGTTAGTAATGTGTGTTAAAAGTTCTACTGTAATTTAAAGCAAGCTTTTACTTTGACGTAGGGTTAGCTTGTTATACTTAATAGGGTAATTATAGATGGTGGCTGGTATGAGGACTATAAAATCCATTCACTACATTCCGATTGAATATTTAAAATAATATATGCAATGTTTACCGTATTTTGCGAGAATAATACATCTAAAATGGCATGATTTCATTTATCTAACGGTTTACTAGATGATCAAATTCGAGTGCTTATCACAGCTACTGTTTACTGTGAATACTTAAAATGGCCCATACTAAACATGTGCAATGGCATCATTTTACTTATCAGCTAGTTAGATGATCACTGCCAATTCTACAGTGCGCTAATAAAACGGTACACCGTTCTGGTTGGGCGTTATTGCTTACGCGATGGATCTGTATTTTTTCTACTCGAAACATGAAAATTTTCATATTCCGCTAAAGAGTACAGGTAATTAAGTATAGCGTTATATTGTGCAATAAATAATCCGTCTTGTCAAAGTTATGTACGCTGGATTGCAAAGTAACAACAAAAAGTAAAAACAACCATTGACGATGAACTAGGAAAATGTGACTCAAAAATTTTTCACTGCAAGGAGCTGATGATAATATATTGCAGTAGATTGATGATCCTGCTAGACCTTGATTGCTTTCATAAGAACTAGACATTAAGCGTAGGCTTTTCGATAGAATATCAGTTTTAACGATCATATCGGCTATATATCGTATTTAATCAAATTTTGATATGCAGTATCATAACTGAAGAAAACGTGTCGAAGTTGATAGGAAGAACATGGAATATGTAGTGTGTATTGCAGCATATAGCACCATGTAGTTTATTTTTGATAAAAGTTCATTTCTACTACGCTATAACATAATTCCATCTATGTATGATGTCTATTCAACTATTTACTGTGTTGAATTCTATTTTAATCCTAGTTTGGCCGTCTCGTAAAAATATCCTAATATTGCAGTAAACAACTCTTAATTTAGACTAGCTTAATTCGATTTTTTTTAATATTCTCGCCTGTTGTGCTTCCTATGTCATAAAATCGATTTAGTGTTTCTACTTGGCAAATTAGTTCTAGTAGTTGCTCGGTAAGTTTACACGATTTACTTATTTCACTTTACTCTAGCTAGCAAACCAGTCTTTGTCGCTTATGTATAATGTAGCCATTTTAGATGATTTTGCTCTACACTAGCCGAAATAGAGACTCGTATGCCTCAATTTATCTCTTGTAATTTCCTGCAATTATGACGCACCCTTAATCTTCAGAAAGAATACACAGTCTGTATCTGCATAGGAGTGTGTAAATTTATATGATAGCTGACAGCTCAACGGAATAGAATAGAAGGAAGCTTGCTTTCTCAACAAGGATAACTGGAGAAAATCTGATGGAAATGGCAGCAGCTCTAGTGTTGAGGCCAATTTGAAGAGGAATAACAACCTCAAATTAGTTTCTTGACAAACGTGATTCAGCCACGCCCACCTCCCGAAGCGATCATAAGTTACAGTAATGTGTCATGTAGTGCTTGGGATTTACAACCCTTAACTTCGCAATCGTCTAACTCAAAATCTGAGTCATTAAAATTGAGCAAATCACTAACGGGACACAAAATCCAAGAACTACCTAAGGAGGTAAAAAGGATAACTTTAGCTTGCCGCTAAGATGGTGTCACACAACACTAGTGACAAAGTAGTCTACACACGCCAATCCTTGCGGAAGAACGCCACTTACTGACTTAAAGAGGCGAAATTAGCTATATCACCCAATAATTCAGTTCCAACGACCCAATATTATAGTATAATTATAGCGTCACTGATAGTGTAGACGAGGTAGTCAGAGATTTACTACTATTTATTACTGAAGAAATCTTGGCACCCAAGATTATAGTCTTTACAATTCAATAGCAATTGATAAACTAGTTGACTATCTAACCGACTAACTAACTAAAAAGGGATCTTCAGGCACTAGCTTTTCATAGTCTCGTCAGAAACTCCTGGTACACGTAAATTAAAACTATCATTTTAAAGTAACAGGAATTATTAGAATATTGTCATTAAAAACTTCATATAAGATAATTAATTAACAACCTCTATTGTCAAGAACTGATAATAAATTAATAAATTAATAAAGAGCTTAACTAGTAAACACAAGATGACAATTTAATACATTAATCATATAATTAATTAATGAAATCAATTGTCAACAACACTAATAGTGCATTATTATATTAATCAAAGATTAAACAGATTATATGAAGAAATGATAATTAATAAAACGTCAATCCGCACAAACAATATTTAATATTACTTAATAATTAGGACGAGCTTACGCATCGTAACAGATGGCTACACTGGAGTTATATTGATTATTACCACTACAATTACTTCATTTTTTGCAACGTAGTATTTAGGGTTAAACAAAATCCAAGAACTACCTAAGGTAAAAAGGATAACTTTAGCTTGCCGCTAAGATGGCTACACTGGAGCTTTATTGATCATTACTACTACAATTGCTTCATTTTTTGCAACGTAGTATTGTCACACACCACTAGTGACAAAGTAGTCTACACACGCCAATCCTTGCGGAGAACGCCACTTACTGACTTAAAGAGGCGAAATTAGCTATATCACCAAATAATTCAGTTCCAACGACCGAATACTATAGTATAATTTTAGCGTCACAGACAGTGTAGACGAGATAGTCAGAGATTTACTATCATTTATTACTGAAGGAATCTTGGCACCCAAGATTATAGTCTTTAGAATTAAATATCAATTGATAAACTAGTTGACTATCTAACCGACTAACTAACTAAAAAGGATCTTCAGGCACCAGCCTTTCATAGTCTCGTCATTAATCATATAATCAATTAATTAAATCAATTGTCAACAGCACTAACAGTGCATTATCATATTAATCAAAGATTAAACAGATTATATGAAGAAATGACAATTAATAAAACGTCAATCCATACAAGCAATATTTAATATTACTCGATAATTAGGACGAGCTTACGCATCGTAACAGATGGCTACACTGGAGTTTTATTGATTATTACCACTTGTGATATATACCAATCACGAAATTCCAAATTTTAGAAAAATAAGGGCTTTATTGAATCTTATACAAAGATTAACTACATAGCTCTACTCTAGCCGAATACTACTTCTAAAAACTTCTAGAACGAACTAACAGAATAATCTAAAGTTGCATGCTTTTATACTTTCCGTAGCATTCGCAGCTACAATCCGCATGGCAACCTTTTACCTTATTTTACACATAGTTAAATTATTCTTAGTAACACTATTCTACTGCGGACCATCATTAATCCAATATGGATACGACTACAGTACTTACGTAGACATTATTCACACCAGCCAAAGTACGATGAATTAACCATATCCTAATATATGATTTACAGTTCTATTTTTACCTATAGCCATATTAGTAACTCAACAGCTTACTGTTTATAGTCATCTGTACTCTAGCATAGAGTCTCTACCACTACAGTCTATAGTTACAGCTACCAAATATCTCTTAGGATAAATATCTACCGTACATTATACTACACATGGCTAACAGTCTACAATCACAATACTAAGTTACATTACACCACTATAATTACTTCTTTTTTTGCAACGTAGTATTTAGGGTTGAAGAGGTAATTACGACATCATTTATGTGAGCAATTTTTATAGTCCATTTAGTGATCGCGCAGATTCATCAGATTACAAGAAAGCAGTATGTATAATACTGGCATGGATAAGCCATCGAAACAAACTAGTGGTATAGTACTATAAATAGCGCTAGTTTGCTGTCTCAATTTAATAGCTACTTAAGGAGGTAAAAAACATCATGCTGGTTTACCACTATGATGATTGCACTAGAGTTCTACTGGGTAGTACTAGTAAAAGTACTTTATTTCTTGGAGGGTACTATCTGGAGCTGAATAGTTCTCCGCGATATTGTTTTTACCATCGATTCCTATCGTCCATTTAGTGATCGCTTAGATTGATCAGATCACAGGAAACTTAGTAGTCCATGGTTTATTAGTTATAGCATAGTGGTACAGTGCTACAAGTATAACACTAGTTTACTGAATCAATCTAATGACTACCTAAACAGGTAGAAAAGGATAACTTTGGTTTACCTCTATGACGACTACCCTGAAGTTCTGTTGCTTAGTACTAGTAAAAGTATTTCAATTTTCTTGCAGAGTACTATCTAGTGTTAAATAGGTCATCACGCCATTTTTTGGCGAGCGATTTCTATCGTCCATTCACTATTTGCTCAGATTCATCAGATCATAGGAAACTCATAGTCCATGGTTTAGTATAAACAAACTAATGGTATAGTACGACAAACATAACACTAGCTTTCTGCATCAATCCAATGACTACCTAAGCAGATAAAAAAAAGGATAACTTTAATTTGCCTCACTCTATAGTTTAGTATTAGCAAATTAGTGGTAACAGTACTACAAGCATAACATTCGTTTATTACATCTATCTAATAACTACCTAAGCTGTTAAAGAGGATAGCTTTGGTTTGTCTCGATGATAACTATCCAAGAGCTCTATTGCTTAGTACTAACTAGTAAAAGTATTTCATTTCTTGGAAGATACTATTAAGAGTTGAATTGGTGATCACGACATCGTTTTTACTCGTGATTTTTAGAGTAAATACAGTAATCGTTCAAATTCATCAAATGACAGGAAAGTAAAATATATACAGTACTGTAGCAATGGGCTAACATTGATAAACAACCGTATATAAACAAATTAGTAGTACAGACATTACGATAGTTTGCTGTCTTAATCCAATGACTACTTCAGAAGGCGAAAAAGATAATCTTGGTTTGCCTCTATGATGGCTATACTGGAGTTCTATTGCTTATTACAGTAAAAGTACTTCATTTATTGGAGGGTACTATCTAGAGCTAAGTATGTGATCGCGACATCGTTTTTGCCAGCGATTTTTATAGTAAATTCAGTAATCGCTCAGATTTATCAGATCACGGCAAAGTAGAATATACTCGTTCAGTGCAGCGATGGGCTAACGTTGATAAACTACCGTATGTAAGCAAACTAGTGGTACAGTCCTACAAGTATTACGCTAGTTTGCTGTCTCAACCCTATGACTACTTAGGGAGGCGAAAAAGGATAATGTTGCTTTACCTCTATGATGATTATACAGGACTTCTATTGCTTACTACGAGCGAAAGTACTTCAATTCTTGGAGGATACTATCTGGAGCTGTATAAGTGATCTAGACATCATTTTTGCCAGCAATTTTTATAGTATATTCAGTGATCACTCAGATTGATCAGATCGCAAGAAAGTAGAATGTATGTACGAGTATAGTGCAGCGATGGCCTAGCGTCGATAAACTTTATCAACAAATTAGTGTTACAGTACCAAGGAGGTAAAAAAAGGATAACTTTAGTTTGCTTGTATGATAACTACCCTGGAGTTCTATTGCTAAGTACTAATAACTACTTTATTTCTTGAAGGCTACTATCTATAGCTGAACAGGTGGTCATTGCTATCTTGGCACGTCATCATTTTTGCCAGCAATTTCTATAGTCCATTTAGTGATTACTCAGATTTATTAAATTACGGGAAAGTAGAATGTATATTGCGGCGGCAGACTGATATTGATAATGTATATGAGCGTTGTGTTCAACATCATACACTAACTATCAAGCATACAAGCAATCATTTGCAAAAATAATGTCACTCACTGCCCATCCTATGAAGTCGTGATGACATCTATTTTATGAGCGATTGCTATAGTACTTTCAGCTTATGACTGATATTCATCAGATCATGGGAAAGTAAAACCTACGTACATAGCACGGTTTATCACTAATCTTGACATTAAAAAGCAGCGTAATAGTAAGTATCTGTAGTGCCGGGTAAATTTTAAGATTCCTTCAGTATTAACTAATTAAGTAATGCTCTAGTTATAAGTATTCTTATTGTGAGATAAGATAGTGTTTTGCTAATTCTAACAAATTGATCAAATTGAAGTGAAGTGAAGTAAGCGAGATCTTACAGTATCATACACTAACAAGGGTAAAACAAGTCTTTTGCAAAAATAATGCCACTAGTTGGAGTTACCTCAATATAAATTGAACGCCACGGATGATATCATTTTAAGAAAATCATCGGGCTATTTTCCTCCGATATCTCCTCCTTTAATCTCATCTAGTCATTTTTTTGGCTGTAAGCAATCCACTCATTGTAATATAGACGTACAGTTGAAATTCTATAATCCAGCTAGTGTTTAACGTCTCTATTAGACCTTCTATCAATTGTAGAAATCGTAATTGGTCAAGTAATTAAAGACGTTAAAAACTAATCAGGAAAATGGGCAAAAGTTTGATTGTTTCAATTTCATGAGCAAAGTAGTAATAGCCAGTCTTAAAGTTATATAATTTAGCGCTATGTATCATAGCTGAAATGGAATATCTCAATGAATAGATTTTGAGTGCCATAAAGGGGCAAAATGTCAGCAACGAATGCGATCAATAGGGTGGCTTTAGTATACTTGAGTTATAGGATTATTCCAGCGTAATGAACTGATTATGCCATATATTTAGAATATAAAAATTTCAAGCTTTAGTTTAGTTCATTGCAGCTTTTAAATAATTTAATTTAAATAATATAAGGCCAAGAGTTAGCTTTGATATCATGAAATTATATTTGAGTATCGCAAATTAGTTGCAATACAACTCACCTACGCGGAGTCAAACAAAGTATTTAGCATTAGTTTACAAGGTATTACTTAGCTCCATTTTAACATTATAATGAACGAGTACATATTCTAAATCGTAATAGTTAAACTTTTACTTTGCAAACGACTAATCAATCAAGAGTGGACAGATTATCGAACAAATTTCAAATGGTGCTTGCAATTGAATTTGTCCGATCATCTTGACATTAATTAGCTGATACCTTTGGCAACCACTTAGAAAGGACGCGATTCAACTCAGCCGGACTATGGTAAGGATATTAAAATATCATTACAAAATTACCAAATAATGCAAATGCTAACTGATATAGACAATCAAATGCTATGTCTGGATAAAATTCAATATTAATTCATACCATTCTGACTGGGTCCAGTGGCCACACAGTAGATTAGCGCGTGTTAAATTAGGCACATATTCCTCCATCCCATTGGTCAACTCTGGTAGCAAAATAGGATCATACTCGGCGGTCACCATTAACGCCGGCTGATAAATCTAATATATTTGGAAAATTTAAAGTAGAAATGGTCATTCCTATCGTTATGAAATTGCCGGAATCCTCTTACAGATAAGGACGACAAGATGTGCTAAATAGAGAAGGAAAATGATCTTATTTGACCGTAAACTTTTCAACAAGTCCTAAACAGTAATAAACCTATTACATCGTCTTGGCATAAAACTAATGAACTCTATATTAAACCTGCAATGATTACCTTTGTCTCCATTTGAGGTCTACGACACCTCAATAAGTGCTACTACTATGACGTAAAACTTACTAATATCGCTTAGGGAAAGTCACTGATACTATTGCGTGTATTCTTAAGGCTGCGAATAATATTACAGGAAACTAAATCGCAATATCTAGTTCCCTTAACAACATATTGATAGTAATAATAATACGATATTTTATTGCTTAATCTATTAAAAATATACTAAAATAATTTCTGATAAGTTATAAAACTGTAACTTATGGCTTTACAGTACTACTAAAATTAGAATATCGTATGCATGTACATTGTACATCATGTCTATCCTTTATAAATGGATCAATACGATAAAAATACGGCATAAAAATTTGCCTAGAAACTATTTCTGTTAATTGTATAAGAAAATCCGTAAATCATCTTCTAGCGAAAATAGATTGAATGAATCACATTACCAAAGATGCTATAAGAAATCAAAACAGAAGATCGAATATTACCTTGTACCGTTCGATACTTTTTATATTATTCCAATTTATAGCTTCATTTCGATACCAATTTAAGGGATAACTAAGAATATCAATGACTGATTAAATTATATCGCTACATTATGAAGCTACAATAGTATGAAAATACAGTTATTTGTTATGATTTAGTCATAATTTAGTATGTTTTAATTACTGGAAGCCGTTCTTTTTGTAATTTTTCACACAGTAATTAAATTCTTTATCACTCATGAAAGAGCACTTGGGCAATTCATCCGGTAAGCCAGCCAGTAATCCACCTATTAACGAAAGAAAGTAAGATTAGCTAAATAAAAAGAAATCTTTACATCTAACCAAATGTATCATAACTTGAATAAATAGGTGAAAAACGTAGGTTCATATATTAAATGGGGTGATTCTCAGTATTTTTGCCGATTTTTTTGGATTACGAGTTTAACTGCATAATTTATTACATTATTAACAAACGCAAAGTTTACTATTCAGTTCCCGTTATAAATCAGATAGCATCAATGTTTATGTACGATATTCGCTGTGATATATTGATATATTAAACGTGACGATGTTTCTATAGCTCTGTTGATGATTATCCCATTGATTATATAATTTTACGGGTAAAATTGTTATAGCTTTCTAATAAAAATAGCGTCGTTTATCCTTTCATTCTTGTGATAAAGTAGATAGCATCAACGTCCACAAGATTATCAATTATGATATATACTTTCGATACCTCTTTTCCTGACAGTGAAAGTCTCCAATTTGATACCCGTTGTATTCTATCATTCCATATGGGATTAAATAACATTTTACGAGGTTAAATTGGCTAGTAAGATGATGAATTTGTGAGCATATAAGCTGCCTAGATAATATAATACTACGTACGAATAGAGTTTATAACGCTAGCAGGTATACCTTTGGTGTTGTATCTGAGTAGATATAGCGCAATGTACGATCAACATCCTTTTCCAGCTCTACTTCAGCAACCCCCTAATTTGTAAAGGATATATGAATAACATAAAATGTTAAACACAAAAAACGAAATTACTCTTCGGAGTAATTTCATGATAATACATTCAATTATTACTTTACAAAATAAATAATAGTATAGAGTGTTGATGAAAATGATTTCCCAATTTCTGTTTAAAATTTATTTGGAAGAATGCTTTCTCGAAATATTTCACACTATATTTTTATATTGTTGCAGTATACCTCATCAAAGAAATATAGGCAGTAATCAAATTGTTGTGGATCTGCTTGTACTAATTGCGTAAAGTCGTACTCTGGATGAGGCGGAAAATATCCAAGGTTCAGGCTTGCAACCGCCCTGCAATAGGAAAAAGGAATATTTACTTCATGCGCAATTTGTAATAATGATCTTCGCTCATTCTTAAATTATTTTAGCGTGACTGTACTAACCAATATGGAAGTTACTGTACCATATGACAAAATTGACAACTTTTCTTATGCATAAAGTAATTTAACTTACTTGATACGATCAGGAAATCGTAGTGCTGCTTCCCATACCACAACACTACCCCAATCGTGTCCAATGAGGACAGCTTGATGAATATTCTAAAATAATTATGTTAGCATTTAATAATCAAAAACAAGAAACCAATATAGCAAAGTTAAAGATATTTATTTCTAATCATAACCTACCAAGTTATCCATTAAATCGATAATATCCTACATGAAAATATATTTAGTAGTTAATTAAATTATTGATCTTAATAATGAATGTATTAAAACGGTAGATATAAATACTACTACTGCCTTACACATAGATCTCTGATATAGTAAAAGGTTGAATATGTTGAACACACATAGAAACGGATTATATCGTAATGCTATCTTTTAAACTTCAGCTCCAATCACTTTACTGTCTTACCTGATTAACAAGTTTCATCGAGTAATCATCAATATCTGTTAATAGGAAACATAAAATTTATAATATAGAAGAATCAACAATCACAGCCTCATTAAAAATGATATCGACAAATATACGTATAGTATTCCCCTTACTTGGCGGTTGATCAGATTCCCCATAACCACGGTGATCCAAGGCAATAACGCGGTACCCAAGCCTTGCAAGAAATGGAATCTAGCATTGAACGACAAATTTGTAAAGGTATGTAAGCATGGAGAATACAGACTTAGCTTCTAACACTTTACACCCTAATTTCCAGCAAAATATCACTTTATGCATATTGGCTTGTTATTAATGATGCACACCTGATGTCTCCATGTATACCAAAATTCTGGGAAGCCGTGGGATAAAATAACTGCAGGGCCGTTACCTTTCTCGACAAAATGAATCTTGACGCCACTCTTTATAATTAAATACAGAAACAAGTTTTCTAATTTAAGCGTTGGTATCATCTGATTAAGGGATTAAAGTGATTTGCTCAACACTTAATATTTCTATCTAAAGTTGTTATTCTTTAGGAAAATTATATTTGATAGCAATAACAAGTTATTACACCACCTACAGTTGTAGTAAAATAGCAGTGTGTTACACTGTCTGGATTGCAGGCAGCAGGCCTGGATAATTTGCTAAACTAAATGGCAAGTAGTCAAAAGAGATATATTACTTAGAGAGTAGTTTGTACTTTCTGAGGTTATCGTGTCTTTAATATACTCACATTAATACCAGTTAATTCGCTTAGTTTTTTCAAGACCGTAGGTTGGTCTTCAGCAACAATTCCTGTCATGCCAATGCTAGTTGCAAGTTTGCAATATTGTTCCGTCGATTCAACTGAAATTACCTAAACGTCATTATTACATTTATAAAGAAGAAAATGCAGATGCTTATCAATAGGCAAATAAATGAGGGTTAAAAACTAGCATTTTTAATAAGTTTTACAATAATATTAATACAAAATTACCTCGTCTGCTTTAACATTCATCTCTTTAAGTGCATGTTGATAGAACTTAGGATCAGGTCTTGCCATACCAACTTGACAACTTTCAAAGTAGTAATCACACGTAAAACGTAAATTTATTTTCATACGAGTAAATTTATTTCCAGTTGGTCCTTCGATCAAACCAATATTGCCTAGAAAGCATACTTTATAGCCTAGAGATGAGAGGATAAAAGAATAGTTTTACGAATTAGTTTTTGATATACCTGCTCCATACGAGATCTTTGTCAATATTCTATATTAGCTAATTAGACTTACCAGCTTCTTGTAAATTAGAGATTGAGTCTAATACAAGCTGATTTGGCCTCAAGCAATCAATGCAATCGGTAAAAAAGTCATTAATACTAAATCTTTCGGGAAGTTGGACACCTTGAGCGATAGATGCTTCAGTCAGTTGTTTCTCAAATAAGGGGAGAAACTATAGTATAGAAGGTAATAAATTAATGATTAATCTAATATCATATTTTCATTTAATTGAAACAAAAACTTGAAAAATACTAAGTTGACTTCAATCAGATATAGGGTTGGTTTAAGATTACATGACTATACATTCTTAATTTGGAATATGTTTGCTTAATAAGCGTACTTCAGTAAACGTAATTTGACCGTTGATTAATCTAGATGACGGCTTTTCAGGGCTACCATGCATGAATAATGCGAGAATGAAATTCCTAGTAGATATGCATAAATTAGTAAAGGTAGAATATAATTAATTCTTATTACAATCTAGCTGATTTAAAGTCAATGCTTGTATCTTATTTACGTCTTTCTGCAGAAATGATTGTAATAGCAAGATTTATTATATCTTAGCATGTTTATTGTAAAAAGAGCTATATTGTGATGATTTATATTCTATAATCATAGTTGGATTTTCAATATAGATGAATAAATTCTAGTATTACGGACATAGTATTACAAAGCAGGGAAATCTATACGATATAAGGGAACAAGTTAACAACATCGACGAGTCAAAAAATCTGGAATAGCACAGATTAATTTTAATCATGAATCCAAAATAAATAAATTGACGAGTGGATAAATTATTCTTTTCTTATAAGTTTCATTACGGGTATGTCCAATCAGTGAGGTAGTAGAATCAAAATCAATATAGAGAATGAAATTTGCAAATTAGGATATCAATTCTTTTTATCGAGAGGCATTAATACCTCATCTCAGTTAGAATGCAATAATATTTATTAATGAGGTGAAAAATAAGAATGAGCTCAACTACTCTCCTACCGTTGATAATCCAATTATCAGAGTAAACGTTAAAGTAAGGTATTAATAAATTCATTATTATACTATGGTAATGCCATTTTCTTATTTCGAGTATTGATGAGTTTTTAAAGACTGTAGACACTGGGTAAGCTATTTCTTTTCGAATATTGCTGGCTTATATGAAGATTGTAGACACTACGTGATTGACTTACTTTGGAAGGCCACGATCTAATTCCATCTTACTTATCGTAAGCGATAATGATGAGTACAAGACTCCATAGTAATCAAACATAACCACCTTATACTTCCTGAAGAATGAAGCAGAAACATTAGTTTACAGGACATGAATATAAGTTTTGGACATACTTTAAGAGGTTAAATTAAAATAATTCCTCAAATTGTAAATAATGGCATGACTTACCCACTCATGATGATATCAATTCAATTTTTTAGATCTACAGTATAAGATAAAGCAAAGACTGAAATGGATATTACACGCCCTATATATGAACATGTTTAAGAAGAAATTAGAGATAAATGAAGTCTTAATAATCTATTTGAAATTATTAATCTTATTAATATTAGAAGTAATAAGGAAATTAGATCGTTTCAGCATTTGTCGTAATAATACTCCTATTATTTGCCCTGGTATGATATTTTAGCAGTAGAACTGGACTTAATCACAAGCCTTTATCCAATTAGCCTGATGGTTCATATCGTTTAAATATCTAAAATAACCCATGCCATCTATTTAAAATGGTATCATTTCATTTGTCTAGGCGTTCAATGATCGGCATTAACTGTTTATTGCAATCGCCGATTAAATATTTAAAATGATCCATACTTCTGTATACTGACGTCTAAAATGGCATCATTTCACCTATCTAATCGTTGGATAATTAATAGACATCGATTGTTAATCACAGTTCCCAACCAAATGATTAAAAAAATTTATAATAAATATCTAAAGTGGTATCATTTTATTTTTCCAGCCGTTAGATAATAGACGTCAATTGCTAGCCACAATTACTGACGGAATGATAAAAATGATCCATAATAAAGATCTAAAATTGTATCATTTCACCTATTTAGCCGTTCGATAATTAATAGACGTCGACTGCTTATCACAAATACTTACTAAATGATTAAAATGATTCATAATAAATAAGCATCTAAAGTAGCTTCATTCCATCTATCTAGCCGTTAGGTAATTAATAGATGTCGATTGCTTACTATAATTACCAACTAAATGATTAAAATGACCCGTAATAAACATCAAAAGTGATATTATTTTATCTATCCAGTCGTTAGACGATCGACTTCAATTGCTTATCACAAGTATCAACTATGTGTTAGGGATTAAAATGAACCATAATAAACATTTAAAATCGCATCATTCCATTTATCTACTAGTTAGGCGATTATTACTAATTTGATACGAATAAAACCGGTTGCTATCCTAACTAAGCATTATTGAAATATATTTTGTGTATATTGGAAGCATGAAAATTTTCAGGCGTCGTTATTGAGTTTACTCATAGGCGTGGTATAATATCGCTTATCGAGCAATCACTAAATATAATTCATCTTTTCAAATGTACGTACGCTGGGTTGCAGAATAGCTACAACAAAATATAGACGTCATCCTGAAGATGATAAACAGAGGGGGAAAAAGATTCAAAGTGTTTTCATCGCTGTAAGATGATGATGAATTGCAGTTGATTTATGATCCTGTCAAGAGTGAATGAGTCTTGATCGGTATCATGACGACTAGACAGCGAATGTGGGTTTATCGATAGAATGTTAGTTTTGATAACCACGTCGATTGAAAGAGCATGGAATATGTCAACTATGGACTACTAGATGTACATGTAATTTAGTAGTCCATGATTATACGTACATCTGTATATACTGTACACGTTTGCAAGTTTCTATCATAGCTTATAATGCAACAAAATAAAGCGATGCTTACCGTCGGAGTAAGAATGGCTAGAGAAAACCTGATGGAAATAGCAGCAGCTAAATGTTGAGGCAACTTGTGGAGTAACAACAGCGACAAGGTAGTTTCCCGATGTAAGTGGCTGAGCCACACCCAGTTAGTGCTTATTACCAATCATCTGTTACATCAGGATGATCAAACTATTGTCGATATATATATGTTATATATATGTTAGTGTTATATATAAATAAATAAAAAAAAACTACCCTAGTTTAACGTCTCCCTCTAATAACTACCAAAGGAAGTCATATAGGATAATTTTAGCTTGTCTCTATCATGACTACAACGGAGTTATGTTGTGGAGTACCCTACTAGTGTGGCCATAATTCTTCATTTTTTGCAGGATAGTCTAGAGGGCTCAACATCTCAACATGGGATATCTAGGCTTAGTACGCCATAACGACATCACTTATGCTGGTGATATTCTAGAGCCCATTCAGTGATCATTTAGGTTGATTAGATCATGGGAAAATAGAATGGATAGTTCATCATGTTAACCATTATATCAATCACGACCGAATGTACAACAAATCATGTACAAGAAATAATTTTACTTGTTGCCGATAGAATGGAGCCATCGTCATATAGAGTTTTAATTTTTACTAGTAATTTCCTTAGTCCATTCAGTTATCACTTAGATTCATCAGATCACGGGATAGTAGAATTGTACTCGTATAGCAGTTATAGCTTTGTTTAGGAGCAGCTCTGGACGAGCAGGCGGGATTTACTGTGATAAGTAAACACTACGCTGGCTGTCCATCACGATGACGTGGCAGTAAGTTGCCATCGAGGATCTTCAACGATAAGGATGAACAACAGTTGATCAGTAGGTTGCTGCCGATGATTTTAAGGCGCTGATGCAGCCTGATGATCTATTGACAATGATGATAGTGGAATGGTGGATAGAGTTATTAGTCTACAGTACACAGACTTTCTAGCTTTGTTTTAGACCACCTAACGATGATGATCGGGCAAACAGTTGATCAGCATGTTGCTGTCATCGATCGATGATTTCAATTAGTTGATCGAATAGGATGATCAACGGATAATGTCTGTAGGTGGATAGAGCTGTTAATTTACAGTAGACAGGTGTTCTAGTTTTGCTTTAAAGCATCTGTGCATGATCTATAGGATGGTGATCGGATCAACAGTTGATCACTTTGTTGTTGTTGATGATAGCAATTAGTTGATCGAATAAGATGATCAATGGGACGATATCTGTAGATGGAGAGAGTTGTTAATTTATAGTAGGCAGACGTTCTAGCTTTATTTTAAAGCATCTATACTTGATCTATAGGATAGTGATCTGATCAACAGTTGATCAGCATGTTGTTGTTGATGATAGCAATTAGTTGATCGAATAAGATGATCAACGGGACAATGTCTGTAGGTAGCGAGAGTTGTTAATTTACAGTAGACAGACGTTCTAGCTTTATTTTAAAGCATCTATGCATGATCTATAGGATGGTGATGAGATCAATAGTTGATCAGCATGTTGTTGTCGATGATAGTTTAATAATAGTAATCAGTTGATCTCGCATGATGATCCACCCGATAATTTTAATTTTAATGACTGTAGGTGAATATTGGTAAGACAGATTAGTTTACATTGGATAGGCGTTCTAGTTTTGTTTCGAGCCCCTAATAAGGTCTGGAAAGTACGATTTCTACGCAGTTATCGAGGATCTCGAACGATGATCATAATATCATCAGCTCAACAGTGGATCAACAATTCAACCTGTTGTTGTTGATGATTTCTAGCAGTGGATCATCCATGCCATGATCAAGATTATAGAATTAATTCTAATTCAAAATAATAACATCATGATCATCAGTTTTTTTTTCCAACACGTGACTGCAACAGTGGTATGATAAGTACAAGAAAGGTAAAGAAACCACATCGAATGGCATTGCAGTTAGCATAGTGTGCATTAACATTAATTGAGGTACTGTAGAAACAGGGAAAAGTCTACTACAAAATGACAAGTCTAGTAATACTGTAATGGAAAAGGTTAAAGGTTATACTGCGACCTCGAATAGACGCGAGGAGATCTTTTGAAAGAGGCAATGGACAGAGGTCAAATTATAATCTACTATACAATAAAGTAGAGTAATTAGTTACGGAAGGAAATATTGACAGAGTGACATTTAATTTGAACAAGGAGGATGGATGGTAGCACCTAGAGACAGTATAAAGTGTATCTTAAACACCACTGTTACCCCGCGATGTAGCAGAATTGTGCAATATTATTGGCGGTAGGCGTGGAGAGAATTTTTTCTATAAATTAGATAGCAGTTTAGTAGTGCAGCTAGTGCTTGAGCTAGTGGCAACGGTGAAACAAGCATAGGCACATCTCGTCCATCTATTGGAAAAGTGGAATAACAAATCCAATCAGTATACCCTTGATATCCCATCATCATTAAAGAGTGCTGTAGGAGTTGGCGATTCAATCATAACAACATTTCATTACCATAATCTATCATAACAAGCACAATTTCAAGCAAGAAACCCTTGAATTCAAGAAAAAAATCGGATCAATTTTATTTCACGACAAAGATGAGCGATCAAAAGAGGTATAAATACACATTACAAAGTTCTACTGGATCAATCAATGGTTCATTTACATCTTGATTACAAGTTGAATTGCTACATCTTGCTACAATCGACTGGTTCATATTGTGCTTGTTGGCTAGCTTGAATGTTGACGTTGTAATTAGAGGCAAGAGTGTGTACTACAAGCGGATAGTGTCGATTTGCAGTAGCTTTTAGTCAATTTCATTGCTTCCATCATGCACTGTGGTAGGTTTAGTACATCCATCAGACCTATTTCTTAGTTGGATCAATAAAAAGCGAGGAGTTTTAGTTACTGATGACATGAGCTAGACTGAAATCTTAACTAACTGGATAGATACTGTCACTACTGTTATTATTATTACGTACAGCATAAAAGTTGTTTCATAACTTGCCTGGACATTTATTTATTTTATTTATTTTGTGATATAAATCAATAGTAAGGGCAGGCTCAATTCCGCTACATAGAATTCTAGATACCTGGTTTATAAATTTGTACATTAGCCTGCTTTGTCCCATCATACTGTAAATACTCAATCCTAAATATGCAGTACAAGCTAATATTGTAGATTCGCAATAGTTTGTAGCCAAGTCTATTGCTACCATCAAGGAAATGATACAGCCGACAGTATTTACATTCTACAAATAGCCTATATCATAAATACAAAGTCCTGGGTATGCACTACAAGCTGAAATTGTAAATTTACAATAGATTTTAATCCATTCCATTGACTCCATCATGTCAATGATGCAGGGCTATTGATTTTATAGAAATTGCCAGTATCATAAATACTAAATACTAGTTACACAGTACAAGTGGATATTACAGAATTGCAGTAGGGTTGAGTCAATAAAATTGACTCCATCATGTAGAGGATGAATAAAATAGCCCGCATCATAAATACTAAATACTGGACATACACCGCAAGCTGCTATTGCAGATTTACAGTAGTTTTTGATCAATTCTATTGACTCCGTTATATAAATGATGAATATAAATTGTCTGTATCATGCATACTAAAATTTACTCTACGACACGAGTCAATATTATCAGTAAGTTAAATTTTGCTGTTTATACGAGCAATTCTATATGCTTATTTCATAAACCTCAAGTTTAAGCATCAGTCTGCTCTGTTTTATGATAGATATTAAATACCGTATAATGCCAGTCTTGGTCTTAGCTAGAGACTACTCATTACACACACACACATACAGTGAAAATAGTACCTAGGTTATGCAAAGGAGAGGCTTTTGCTTATGTGCGAACTATTACGAGAAATGCTATAGCAATCAAACAACTTTTTCTATCATACCATCAATGAGGTAGTTAATCCTGCAGTTTTCGTACGCATTTTAAAAAATGATGGAATAAATCGTGACAGGCATAAAGCTCATATTTGATAGCAATTTTCTCGGCATTGTACTCGAAATTTATATTACAAATTAAGATACTATTAATGACATGAGAAATTGGTTATGACTGCTTATGGATAAGGGTTGTATTTTGTCGACATTTTTAGCCCTGATGACAACTGTGGATACAGTAGGATATCATTATATAGTGTTATAGATGAAAGCATTTATTCTTAATGAGTTACATTGTGAGCTGATCCGTTTTATATGTGGGGCCGATGGCCAAGTGCAACCCCTCTTGGGTGTGTTAGCTATGATCTGTAAACTTCTTTTAATCTACTCTGTCACTAATACATAATTTTTTATTTCATATCAATTACAGGTGGAAAATTGTCATGTTCGACATGGGTGGTGTCCTTCTAACACCGTTACAATTTGGTTTCCGAAAATACGAGTGGGAAAATGGATTAGCTAGGTAATGATTGTATGAATAATAATTATCATTTAAATATCTCCTAAAGTATATAATATAATCTGTAGTATTCTTACTATACTATAGATAAGATTTAATTTGTTTTCGTATCATAACTCATACGATCTTATTAAGTGTCATTAATAGCATTCCCAGCTGTTGCGATAATATAATTAATGAATGACCTTGATACTATAGTGTCACAATTAAATATTGTACTGTATATTGATTTACTTCGTACGGATTTTGGCAGCAATTCATGTTTGTAAATTCTTCTTTATACGTGTATATACTTTCCAAATTGATCTATAGTGGAATGTTTAGTGAGCTTTTCAAGGAAGATGATTCAAATTATTCATTTGGTAAAGTTATGAAAGGTGAAATTACCCTATCTCAGGTAATTAAGAGTAGAGAATTATGTAAGAGATGCATGGTGATTAGTTCGTTCTATTCATAGCATTATATTTATACACATTAGTCTACACGCAGACCCGTCATGCTTATGCTTAGTATTCAACGTTATCATTGCTTCTCAACCAGTTTTATCAAGAGTGCGATAAAGAATGTGAAAAGTATGCTGAAGAGAAAAAGTTTCAATTGCCTGAAGGTTTTTCCGTAAAGAAATTGTTTACAAGCGGCTTCAGCAATAGTTCAATAATGGAAAACGTTATGAAAGCTATTGACTGTTTACATCATAATGGTAATGAAAAATTTTAATATTCCTAGTTGCATGACTATGCCTTGACAGGTGTTGTTTTGATACATTGGTATTGGTTTCTCTCGATATTTAACTACATTTTAGGCTACAAGGTTGCATTATTAACTAATAATTGGACTGATGATACTGAAAGAAGATTGTCTATTGCTGCAATTATGTTGAAATTTCGTCGCCGCTTTGATTATGTATTTGAATCTTGTCACATTGGCATGGCAAAACCTGATGCTAAATTGTATGAATATGTCTGCAATAAGATGAACGTTCAACCATCCGAAGTAATGTAGCTTCCTCTATATACGCGTAGTAAATTGACTAGATAATACTGATTTACCTTCAAGTAGCTAAAATTAATTATCTGAATTCTAATTTAGAGTAATGCAGTTAATTGATTAAAGTTATGATTACTTGTAACTATGGTGTAGAGGAGTCTACTTCCTTCCGTGTCTTAATTACATACGTATCAACATTCATATTATAAGTAGCACCTATAAGATCTCAATGCCGATGCAGTTCTGACTAGTGTATCTACATTATTACAATAACAAATATCTATCAGCTACCATTGGCATAATTGCGCGCCCAGTTTACTTAAGATTTTTCTCAGCTTAAAAAACAATATACCTTTAAAATTGATTTAATTGTTCATTTTGTAAATGATTACAAGCCATGGTGTAGTTATCAATGCTTGCACTTGATATCGGCTGATGTAATGCTTTGACGGCTATTTGTATTTATGAACATTCGCAACTTTATTTCAGGTCATTTTTTTGGATGATTCCACCAAAAATTGTGTTGGTGCAGAAAAGTTGGGCATGAAAACTATAATTGTTAAGAATTCCTTTCAAGGGCTTAAAGATTTGGCAGAGCTTTTAAACATCGACTTCAATCGTAAGGTTGTCCCATACTGCGATATCAGTCGTTTTGCTCATGGCTACATTGTTAGCAAGGTTAGAATAGTAGAATATAGACATTAAGTTAAATAACTATCCTAGCTATAATGGCTTAAAAAATACAACTGCGATGTTGTTCACTTGTTATTACTGTTGTTCCTTCAGGAAGGTATAAAAACTCACTATGTTGAATGCGGTCATGGTCCACCAGTCATATTTTGCCATGGATGGCCTGAGTGTTGGTATTCTTGGCGTTACCAGGTTAGTATCGTATTTCAATCTAGAACGAATCGGATATTGCAAGTAAATGTGAAAGATAATTAATAGATTGCTTAAAAAATTATTTTACTTAGCTTGCACACATAGCTGAATTAGGCTATCGAGCTATTGCACTCGATCAACGTGGATTTGGAGAATCGAGTTGTCCACGAGGTTAGTACAATAGCAAGGCCTTGATTTAATATTATCAGTTGACATCTTAATAATTATCGCAAATTCTCATGTTGCCAGTAGGCATTAGACTGTCATTTGTAAGATCTATTTACTGGAATGTATAATCACATTATCTTAATGCAGCATGAGCGATCGCTAACCTTATCATCATTTGTTATTAATAGCCGTTGAAGAATATACAACTGAAAAGATTATTTCGGTAACTATATTTAATTCATGAATCATGTTAAATATAACTAGCATGTCTGATTATAAATCAAACTATATGTCTATGTTATAATTTATAGGATTTACTGCACTTGATGGACACTCTTGTAAGTCAACTTATTCTATAGCATGGTATAACGTATGTATATACAGCTTGACCAGCAAGAAATAGCTTAATTATGGTACGGGTAAATAAGCGCGTTATTCTACTAAATAGGGCTTACCGAATGTGACACTCGTTGGCCACGATTGGGGCGGTTTTATTGTTTGGATTTGTGCTCTACGTTATCCCGAACGTATTAGGTATTGTCACGTATTAATGTTATACATATATTAGTCAGGACACGTATACAGTGTATATATAATGGTATTATTAAAATGTCTCATTTAATGAAATCAATTTGTAGAGCTGTAGCAGGTGTAAACACACCATACATTCCAATCGATGTATCAGCGAGTCCACTAACTAAAATGAAGAAAAATCCGCATACCTTCGACTATCAACTTTACTTCCAGGATGAGGTTCATTTTTACGAACAATTGTAGAGTTGTCATTAAAATAAAATATATTCATTGATTGCTATGATAATCATCAGTAATTTTACAATTGTTGCTTGTATGATTTTATATATAGGGCGTAGCTGAAGCTGAATTTGAGAAAGATATTGAACGAACTTTCCTATGTTTATTTAGGGGTACTTCGGAAGAAGTTAGTAATCACTTTTATTTGAATTATGCTTTTCCATTTCGTCCGCTTTTAACTTCTAAATGAATCTAGTATAGATATTTCAAGCATCATTGTATTAAAAAGCAATCATGGTTTAATTCCTGTAGAGTAATTCATTATTGCAATGATTCATGCTTCATTATAAATTGTTTATAGGATAAGCTGTCATTAACTCGCAAAGTAGATACCAGCAACGTCAGGGAACGAGGCAATAACTTATAAGACTTATTATCCAATCAACACGTCTATGATATTTATTGGCTATTGAATTAATTAATGTGATTTATACTTTAGGAGGATTTTTAGTAGGTTTTCCCGAGAAGCCTCGTCGTAGTGTTATACTTTCGGAGGAGGATTTAAAGTTTTACGTTGATCAATTTACCCGAACTGGATTCAGGTATGCCACTAGATCATAATTTCTCCTGGAATTATAAATCTATAGATACTCGTATTGTAGTTGTCAGTCTAAATAAGGTATTTAGTCAACTAGCAATCATCGTGACTAATCGATTAATTATTCCTTTACTTAATGTAGAGGTGGAATAAATTGGTATCGTAATTTGGATAGAAATTGGGAATGGAATTGTCGTGTTGCAAATCGTAAAGTATGATCATTTGTCATAGTTGTACTGCTATGTGTAGGAAAATGACCATAACTTGAGAGTACTTAAGTCAATCTTTTGCTGATTTATTATAAGATTTTGCAGCCATCTTTAATGGTTACTGCTAAGTATGATAAAGTGCTGTATCCCGCGCTTAGCAAACTGATGACGCCTTGGGTCCCTAATTTAACTAGAAAGGAGCTTGAGTGTGGCCATTGGACGCAATTGGAATGGTATGTTAGCTACGAGATTTCATATTTGGCCGAAATGGACGTTATTGATTTGTGTGCAATATCACCGACTATATGTATATTTATGAATAATTATCTAAGAAATGGATACTACGGTCCATCTCATACCATATCGTAGCAGACTATTTTTCTAATATCTTTACTGAATTCGAATAATGCCATCAATATACTAATACAACACATGGCAGTTACGTTGATATTCTACAATGGCAACATTTAGTCGTTGTATACAGTATGCAGTAATAAGATATCATTGATTATGATGAAGCGAATATCCTTACTAATATTCATATTTGGGTTGTTTATTTATAGTCCGAATGAATTGAATCAAGTTTTAGGAGACTGGCTTCAAGATGTGCATCGATCAGCAACCATGACTCCAAGACTTTAATTATAACAAATTATTGCCATTTCTTTTATTAGCTAGTATTAGCACTTGTTATACATAGCACTTTTAACGAATAAGTTTGTTAAAGCTTAATTTTAAAGCTTAAAGTAGATCTATAATCGCACGGCAATGCCATACCTCCGGTTATCTACTAATTCTATCATAATAAAGCTAGCAAATACCAGTTTATATTGATTTATCGAATATGCTTTGATATGGATTAGATTAAATCCGCAAGACAGCATCGTAAGATAGTGCACTGGCTTACAATCCCTTTCGCTTCTATAATTATAAATATCGCACGTACATACTCACTGACATCGATGTTATAACATGATGGATAGTATTGTTTATGGAGGGTAAAGTCTGATGCGCCAAGCTATGGCACTCGCCGTAGGCTAGTGAAAAATGCAACTATGATCAGTGATTATGCTCATACTGTAACTAAGGCTCAGTGCAGTAGGATGTGATTAATAGAGGGAAGATCTCATATTATAGATCGCTATAGCGCTTTGTACAGTTTTGCAACCATGATAGAACTAATTGGACATACGAGTATACATGCAGGATTGACCTTAACATACGCATATTTATATACACAACACATAACAAGATGCAACACTGTGGCCTAACATGGCATTATGTAGATTGATACTCGTACATCAGATGTGTATTCTATCTATAGCAATGCACTGGATGCAATGAGTAATAAAGTTGCGCTCATACATAACAAAAACATCAGTGAGTTGCGTATCCTGAATGCTTTGCTTGGCTATGCTGCATAGCTGAGGTTGGAGCCCAAGCTTGTTTTGTAGTAGACGATAGACTGCAAGTAACCAATTGTGTCTATACTGTAAAGAGCAAAGGTGGTGCAGTGCTGGCTGGACCTAACCCTAACCTTAAATAAATAAATATTATTATTACTGTACATGGCTTTATGTAGATTAATAATATCTACTCATATATAGATATGGATTCTTCTATAGCAATGAGCTGGATGCAATGAGTCGGGTAGTGCTTTGATACTTAAGTCGTGCCTTTACTGTACATAACAAAAAGATCTGCATAATGTAACGACAGCTAATAGAGGAAGGATCTCTCTCGTCATCTTGATGGATTGGCTATTAGGGAATTCATATATAATATGCATGATACGTGATTGTAGCTATCGTAACCAACCGCTTCTAAGTGCAAGTGTTTTCGAAGCATACATGTATCAGTATTAACAAATCAGACAATTGGAGCCGTATTACTGCGATCCTATTTACTAATCTTCTTGACGTGTGCTAAGAAACTCTACATCATATAATAAACATCATACGAATATCCTGATTGCTTTGGCTTTGCTTAGCTATGCAGCATAGCTGAGGTGAGAGCTCAAGCTGGTTAGCATTTTGCAGCAGATGAAAGATTTGAGAGTTATACAGCGCAAGCAAGTGATTATGCCTATACTGTAATAAAGACAAGGTACAATTCTGTGCTTTAGTATAGAGCTCTATACTTGGATAGGGCACAGTTGCCACAAATCTTGCCAGTCATGCTGCGGGGGCTAGCGATTCGGGCCATACTGTAGCTAATCATTCATAACACTGTATGATACAGTATATTGAAAAACAAGGCTGCCTCGGCTGGGACCATGGGTAATCTTGACACGGCTGGTGGACCACCTGATTAGGGCTCGATTGATTGGATAGCTGGCTGTCTTGGCAACCTCCATTTTTCGCTTGCATCGTCCATTAATTGCTCGTAGACGCCATCATTATCAACTAGCCACATAGCGATGAGCAGTGAGACCGTGGTCAAGGCCAGTTTTGGTCGTTGCTTAATAGCTGAAACAATATTAGGTCAGGCTTTAGCTTATTCATACACTAAATGTCTAGAATTGTATATGTATCATCGTAGGTAGAATGCAGTAGTAGCTCGTTGTTAGCAAAATTTTCAATTTTGCATCATCATTTGCAATGGATCTCATGCATCGGTTGTATTACGCTGGTAGGTTATATATGGTGGACTTTTCTACAAGGTATATCACCTACCATTTGGCTCTATCCGTTAGAAGTATTGGGTATTAGTGGTTATGAAGCATTTGCTGTATGTTTATTCTCGCCTATTCTTGTTGGTTTGGGCCCAATTCGACGTCTTGTACACTCTCTGAATGGCTTAATGGTGCTACGATTAATGATGATATTAGCACTGACATCATATGAAGCACCAACAACACTGTCACGTTTGATTGCTTTCTCCATCGGTACTGGAATTGCTATGCTTGCAAGTTGTGGATCATTCTACGCGCAATCAGCTATTGATAGGTATAGTACTGTACAGTAAGCGATGGTACTGGTGACGATGATAGCGATAGCATGCATGGCTCAAATTATAAAAGTCATCTGCTTACTAGCAGTTACTCAGTATAGCATAGATAGAACAAATTTATCAGCTTACAGTAGAACTGAAAGATAAAAAAACGATACCAATAAGTAACCTTGTTTTGTTGAACTTGATCAATACAAGTATTTCATGCTTTCCTTACGTTGGTAAATGTTTACTCGTATTAATTACAGATCTGCAGCCTTTTGGGGTAAAGTATTAGGATTTCTAGCCTTGCATGCTTCACGCGTCTATTTTAAATCACTCATTCCAGCTTTGGCTTATACATCAGCAAGAAATGTTATTATTGCCTTAGGAATTATAGCTACCCTCGATCGACGATCAACAATGACTGTAAATCCCCCTGTCGACCATACGTTAAAGGTATATGGTGCATCCATGCGAACTTCAAAAAATTATTTTATATAATAAATGTATAGCAACTATCCAACGTTAGTAACACTTATAGATCCGCCCCAAAAGCCACTACTCCTAAAGTGAATATCGCATATAAAGTACAAAATATTTCACAAAAATTACTAATATTAGATCTGTGATAGTAAAATAATTTTGGATACGGCAGTATAGCGGATAGTTTGTAAACACTAGCAATTGCTGCATCTAATTGAAGTACGTGATAAAATATCCAATAGTCGATTGCAGACCTAAAATGTGAAGAAATTTTAATAAAAATGTTTAGATAATGACTGTCTTTAGATTCTAATAACGCTTAATTTGTAATTTAATAATTATAACGACACGGTTATGCCAAGTTAGCTGACGCCAAAATAGTAGTACACTTGGAATGAACTATTTTTGCTGTAGAAAAGTTATATATGCTAATACAATTTTAAATTATGCTTATAAACTGATTAATGCAATGTAAATCTCTGTAATACTGTAGCACTCGAGAAAACCATTTTGGCCATTAGTCTCTCTTGGCTATGGATCATTACTATATTTGATACATTGGATCTTTAGTGAAGCATCCCTAGTTGCGCGATGGGGTGTACGTCCGTATCCGGATCATGGACCGCAGCCGTACCCATGGGGGTAAATACTTGATTTCTATTAATTTATTTCTATGTTGATAATACTAAGTGTTGTAGCCATTATAACCATTTACGGCATCCATTTAAGAATATTGAGTATCAATGGCATTCTAATATATTTTAGGGCTTTGGTACTTTTGGCCTTAACCATTGGTGTCCTCCTCTCAACAAAGTTCACTCCCGTAACTTCACCTTCCTTTGCTTGGTTTGGTATCACCTTGCTATGGTGGCTTGTAGGTTGTGCTGCTTTTACCGGACTATATCTGACCTATACCTATGTTGCCTTTGGTGCTGGACTACTTCTTGGAGTTTTTGCCTTTTCTATTTGGCCATACCTATTTGATTTATTAACTCTGTGCCCACCAGCTCGGACATATGGATTATCTCTGGTTACATATCTATGTTTTGTTCTATACACAGTTTGGACTATTGCTTTTAACTTTGTTCCAGGAGGTGAATATACCAGAGAAACTTACCATTACAAAATCATTGCTATTCTGGTCTGCATTGGTTTAACGATAATCCATTACAAATATCCTCAAGGTAAATACACAAACACACACATATCCTATAAACATATAATTCTTTATTGAATATTATACCATGCTGGTTATATTGGTTATATTAAACCATAATTTTATTAAAATGTGGTATCATTACTATAGCCTCATCATCATTGCTAGAAAAGAGTGGAAATAGCTACAGCTGTACAGCTTTTCCAAGTCTTGTTGGAAACGATGGCAAACGATCTCCCTGGACATCCTTTAATAAGAACGTTCACAAAGGTGATCTGAGATAAATGTATTCATTAAATGATATCGACTATTAACTAAAATCAAGTAAAAGTGAACAAATTTCTAATCACATGAACCATTTTCAGGCCTTTTTCTAATCCTCATCGCCTCTCTAATTGGTTTCGGAGCTAGGTATAACCCAACCGCCTACGAAAGACCTTCATTAGTAAGTTGAGATTTTTGTGCCAACTATGTCCTCGCATTCGCAATTTTAAAAATGAATACTTTGCACTTCAATTTTAATACAGAATGAGCCAAAAAGATTTACGGCTATGATATGGAATATACGTTATGGATTCGACAATAATGGTTGGCAAAGCTTTGACAGAATTGTTGACATGATTAATAATACAGGTTTGTGTAATTATAAATACAAAACTACTTCATTAATCTTTTCATAAAAGTCGCAATGACGCATGCATAGTATTTGAACCATATAAACTGATCAAATCCTAATTGCTGCTAACTCTAGGATCCGACTTTGTTGGTTTAATGGAATGTGATTGCGCCCGACCATTTGTTGGAAATAACGACCTAGGGGTATTCTTAGGGGAAAAGTTAGGGATGTATGTGGACTATGGTCCAGCAACTCGAGATCATACATGGGGGTTAGATCTAAATATTAACCAATTTTAATGAAGTCCTACTGCAGCATGTGCTCATATTCGAATTGAAATTTCTTCTGTAGCTCGATGCTGTTATCAAAGTATCCAATTGTTAATTCTGAACATTTTCTATTACCATCACCTCAAGGTAATGCTCATTCGAACTCTAAAAAACATTATAATGTGCGTAGATATTACATTGAGTTTTCGTTGTATTCAAAACTAGGTGAATTAGCGCCAGCTTTAAGATCGACTGTGAATATTTCTGGCGATCTCGTCGATATTGTTGTAACTCATATGGGGAATGATGGGTAAGTCAAAATTGACTCCCGTCCGCTATTTGTTATTTTATCGTGAAATGTAACGTCATGAAGGAAATAACAATATTATTTAGTTTACAATGTATGTGATCCGCAATGATTTTGCGTACCCTATAGAGACGATTTGGATAGAAAACTTCAAGCTGAAAAACTTGCACAAGTTATGAGAAAAAGGTTGTTACATGACGATATTTTAAACGGAATTGAGTAAATAAACGATCTTACATGAATTTATCATATTTTTATATAGTAAATTGCCTGTCGTATTTCTTGGTTATGTAACATCAGCGCCATTCAATCGCGATTATCAACAACTAACCAGGGTTGGAAGGATGAAAGTAAGGCCTTACTTAATTTAACTGCTAATAAACTCATGTAACGCTATAATACAAAATCGTTACTATCATAATACCGGAAATATTACGATTTTCTTTACTAAAATTTATCGTTAATAAAATGCAGGATATTGACTCGACAGACAATGATAGATGGTGCTTATATATTCTTTATCGAGATTTGATAAGGTATGCAGTAAATTAGTTATACTTAGCTATAATTTCACCTTTAATGCTATATAATTGATAGCTATATAATTGATAGATAGTAATATTTCCTGTATCAACTTTTATCAACAATTTAAACTTTTCTCTTGATATAGGCTGGGTTACGCCCGCATTTCCAGGGGTATTATTAGTGATACCGAAGTACAAACTGCCAAATTTGAAATACCATCTTCCGCTAATTATGAAGACAATAGTGAAACTACTCATGATTGCAAGAAAGTTCCAATTGATGCTAGATATCCTACTAGGTAGTATAACTAGTACTTTTATAACATAATCCAGTATACAAATATTGCTTTAATCCAAAACGTGTATTGGGGTGGTCATTGTTAGTGTAGTAACTCATGTTGAATGGTTTAAACTAGATTTGGTGAAGTCTTTCACGGTCATTATTCTGGTATGGATCATCACTACCATATGTCAACGCCAAAGTATTTCTTTAGAAGAGGCAAAAAATAAATAAATGATCTTCAATTACGATTTTAACTTCATGTAATACGTATTTGGCATAGAGAGCTCTCTACCATTATAGGTAAAATTGATCTCAGAGATTACTCTACTAATAAAATAATTAAAAATTTTAAATTTATTGTAGTCTTTGTCAATATCATAAGATTTGTTCAACAATTATTAGGATATTATCAACTTATGGTTAGTACAACTTATTGATTTTATAATTTTTGACTCCTTTTTCCTGAAAGTCGTGAATGAATTGATGAAATGCTAAATTATGAATGGTATTATATACTCATATCTTGAGTACTTTTTCGTCAATTGTTGAATGATATATTTTTATGAAAAATTGAAAACTATGGTTAGGCTAACAAACAATGCTATAGTATCGATATCGCCAATGCTAACTATACATGACATATAATACAATTAACTTTTACAACAATTGTACCTAGTTCGGTTTGAATATCCAGTCATACAATCTTAGCAAATAAAGCTGTTGTGTAATTTTATGTGGAAAGTTTTATAATTGTAATACATTCAGAGAAGAGATGATAATTTTTGTCCTTTCAGTGTAACTTGACGCAATATTAGACTATTAACAATTAATGATCTTTCATTTTTATTCTGTTTGCAATTTCAAACCCCTTACGGCTAATGCCAATGATACGGCAAAGCATGTGTAATTTCCGTGCAGTACAGTATTTACAGTCAATTAATTGGCAACAGTTATACACGAGCAACACGCGCGCTTTACTGTTTTAACTAGATGCTCTATGTCCACTTTAATTCTAAGTAGAAAAGCACCATTGCAAACGTGCAGTAGTTGACATTCGTAAAATATTGGATTTTTTCGGTGATTATTAATGGAGCAAATTTGAGGTTGAAGCACTTTCATTAACAGTTGCAAACTATGGCCATTTTTTATTTTCATCTTAAGCAAAAGGTGTAAAAAATAGACCTTAAAAATTATTTCAATTATAAATTGATAATTAAATCCATTAATTCATTGTATACCAAAAAGAAGTTTGCAAAATTTTTTTGTTACAATCTAGAAAGGATGCAATTAATTTGTCTAAACTTTGTAACGAAACAAATAAGATTGATAGCAAGCCATTTGTACAATATAACAATAACTTTCAGTTATAGTACATTATAGGAATTGTATATCTAAACGTTGACCAAAGTGAAATGGTGCAGTCACGGATGAAGAAGTAAACAACTAATAAATCTTTGAATTAACCCGTTCTTTTAGTTAAACCAATATTTTTTCTTCTTAAAATAAAGCACCTATACTTAACAAGTGTTGGTGAAATGTTTATAGCGTAACAGCTAATAATCAAAATTGTACATTGAGAATTAGTCACCATAAATTATTAAATAGGTCTCATTTTCCATTACAACAATTTTAATTTGAGTTGTTTTCGCAGGTACGGTAATAACTCGACAAAATGCAACTGATATACCTATATCAGCAACAAAGTACCTCAATCACGCGCACAACTTACTCCTAGTTACAATATCATAGTGGATAAGTGCCACTTGCGTTAGTAAATAACGTGATGAATGATAATAACTTAAATAATTATAAAGATTACAAGTATGAACAATAAATGATAGTATTGTGACCGCGTTATAAGATTAGCCAATAATTTGCTGTCATAGAATTAGTTGGAAATATAAAAAAAGAAGACGAAAATCTTTACATCAGCAAGTAGCAAATTATTGCAAAATATATTGATGTACGCTTTAAATTGTTATATTCATCACATATAGTTTGTAGTGTTAACAACTATGATGACTTAAAAATTTTATTAAAGCCCTTCTTTTTCTTTTTCTTTTTCTCTGAAGTACTACTATCAGTAGCGAATGACTTTACACTTTCATTATCATCTTCTAATACACTATTAACGCGTCTATTTTTTAATGATTTCCCATTATCATTTGTAGCATTGTGCGTATCATTGCCCTGTCCAGGCTGTCTATGTTTGCTAGAAATTAAAAATGATTCCTGTGATCCTGAATGTGGTAAATGACTGGTACGATTATGATGGTCTAATTTTTCATCATGGATTACCGAGTTTGGCCGATTTACTGTATTCGATGAATGGCCCCTAGATGTTAGTGGTAGAGACGCCGCCAATAAATCTTTACTTTTTTCGTTTTTATATATTTCATTATCGCGCTCTAATTTAGTCTCTGTTTTAGCTTTTACTAAATCTGTCAATTCATTTTGTGAAGCACCACTTGAACCGGAGCTAAATGAGCCAGAATTTACATATTGTAACTTTGCAACATAGTCATCAGTATATTTGCTGCTATAGCTATCTTTACTTTGCGATAAGCGGTTAAAATCATTAAAGCGATCTTTAACTAGTACGGTTGAATCATCACGGATGCGAAATCCACAAATTAACTCAATTTCATCCCATCGCTTCGATTTTTCTTCAACAGAAATTTTGTAGTCATTCAAGGCTTTCCTAAAAATTTTTATAATTAAGATACATTATTGATAAGATAATCTGCCATTAAACAGGCACTATTATCGTTCATGAGAACGATACAAATACAATACATGAGAACATTATGGTAATATTGTTCTCTCCTTCTCAATACAATGTATCGTTCTCATCTCATTATCGTTCTTACAGGCGATATTCTTAATTATGAGGACGATACTAAATTAATTAATTGTTAAGTATAATGGTATTCTTTAAGATAAGCTCATAATCTACACATTTATAAATACTTATAGAAGGATACTCTAGAAATTATAACGCACGGCTTATACCTACACATACATATAATCTACGTATCCTATTGTTATCATTATTGCTAAATATACCTGGCAGATAATATTTTACGTTCAATGTCGTTCATTTGATTGCCATGAACAGCACGCACTGTTCCAAGTAGTGCCATTCGTTTTTTATACATTTTTTGTATTTTCTCGGACTAATCGTTGAATCGTTGAAAATTAATTAGTAGCATTACTAAAATGGCAAATACACTAGTACTAGTTACACTATGCTCTAATGGCAGCCTTGACTGATTTTAAAATTGTATATCATAGGTGTAGTACTGTAAAAATGACATCGGTAGGGATAACTTTACTATATCTCTACAAATGAAATAACTAGAACAGACACTTACTTCTTCTACAGTTAGCTGGAGTTGTTGGTTAGTCGATGCTTCCAATCCGTCATAATAACGCTCTTCAATATCATAACTTTTTCGCAGCAATTCTTTAAGTCTAGCAGGAGCATTCCATGATTTCCATTCCAGTTCTTTCTCTACATTTTCCAATGCTTCACGAACCTATTAAACAACATCAATACTTAAAATGTTAATAACATAAGTAGCTATGAGAAATTTAACAGAAAACTTTATTCATAATCTTGATCAATAAAATTAATTATGATTTACAGTTAGTATAAATGGCTAATCATACCTGTTCCAGTTCTTTTTCAGCAAGCATAAGTTTAACCTTATGTTCTTCAGAATGTTCTCGTTCTTCTTTCAACCGTGTTGCTTCCGCCTAAAATGAAACATCTTAGTATTATTATGCAGCCTATTGTAGGAATAGGATAGGATAATATAAATTTTTATATACATAAAAGTCGTTTTACATGAATAGAGTATAATAAAACGGTACTTAATATCGAAACTTCTTTCCCATATTATTGTAATCTTATGTAAATATGCTAATACATTTTACCAAGTTTTTTCAATATTTTGAAAAGGAAACAGTTTCATCGTTAACTATCTTACGTAACTAACAGTTACAAGATGTACACACTAAACTCTGCTTTAAGGTAAATTGGCTAGGATAAATTACCTTTGCGTTATCTACTTCGGTTTTTAAGCGATTTTCCATATTTCTCTTCTCAGCTAGAATATGTTGCTGCTGTTCATTAGCTTGATTAAGCCTATAGAACAAATTATCAGTACAGCAAGATAACTACTTAGGTATTTGAAATTTATATCATCAAGAAACCAACTAATTTATTAATATAAAAAAAGTGATTTTGTGATAATAGTTTACTTGTTTAAAGTATCACGATGTCGCGTTTCAGCATCTTGTAAAGATTCTACATCCATTAACATCTTTTGCATGCGCTCTCTTTGTTTCCTAACTTTTCTTTGTTGTACATTAGAATAAATTACTGCAATGATAACTGCCAAGAGAGATATGGTAACAATACCATCTTTAATTAGGTTAGATCCTAATGGTAAAGAAGACATAATACCCATATACGATTAATTATTATTTAATAGAGCGGTTTACATAACTCACTGTTAAAGAAAAGTTTATATTTGTGCAATAACTATTGTCATAATTGAATTTAAAATTACCTGATGGTGGTCCGAATAAAACGACATCCATAGCACGAAGGGTAATTTTTTGACGATGATGTAAATCTTTTATTCCCAATATCGACGTAATTATACTATGATGATTTGTAGCTAGCCTATAGGAAAGTTCCAAATGATGAAGAGGTGTTTTCAGATCGACAAATATCTACTATTTAATTTTTAGAGTCTAGCAATGTACAAGTACTATACGCGTTTATTCCCATTTTTATCTACATATATACGATATCAATAACTCACGCTGGTAAATGGCTACCATTAATTCGTTTTTCTTCAAAAATATTGGAATATTCCGGTAGACCAATTGACCATTCAAGCCAAAAGATAACATCATCGCTTGACCAGTTTCGTGCTGAAAAGAATAAAATCAGTCTTATTGAATACCATAGTAGCTACCACAGTGTTATTTTTACTAGTTTATTAAGTAAAAGCTGCGAAATAAGCCAGTATCTAATATTCATACGCAAGCAATATCTCATAAAAATAATAATAAATATAATATAAGCAAAACTAGAATAGCAAATGGAAATAGCCATATCTCATAACAATAAGAATAAGTATAATATGAGCAAAACTAGAATAGCGAATGGAAATATGTCGTTATGCTAACCAATAGAGTAAAACTACTACAGTATTGCCTTTCCAAGTTAATTAAGTAAGAACTGCAAAAGAAACCAATATTCAATGTTCATATACCAGTAAGATCCGATATAAAATAGATATAATATGGACTGAACTGGAATAGCCAATGGAAATAGGTCGTTATACTACCCAATAAAGTAAAACCACAATAGTACTGCTTTACAAGTGGATTAATTAAGTAAGAAGTGCGAAATAAACTAAATCCCATGTTATACAAGTAATATCCAATATAAAAATAGATATAATCTAAAGTGAAGTAGAGTAAAGAATTGAGATACTTTATTATGCTATCCAATAGCGTAAAGCTATGTAGCATAAAAAGTTACTTAATTGTTAATATTTTTAGTTCCTTGACATCAATAGATAAGACAGCATTGTAATAGTAGTATAAAAGCATGGTCTACCATTGACTACATAAGGCGGTATTGCATTTTTAAATTGAATTTAATAACTCAAAGCTATGTTAATGATAACGGGAATTACCAGCAAAAAACGAGATCTTCCCATACTAAGATAAATTACTAGTTAAGTTGATGTACTTTCATTTCACTTGATGGGAAATAATTGTCCTCTATCTCTATTTATGTCTACCCAATATTTGAATCATCTCTTGCGTAAATGCTTTAAAACTGATTTTTTTTTTTATCTCCAACTTAATAAAAGTAACAATTTACATATGTATAACACTGTACTTGTTAAGAGTAGAAATTGAGGGATGATTAATTATTTAATTTAATTATTCTAATTATTATTCCAAAATTTCGATTCCTTCCTACTAGACTATATAAACTAACACTTTTCCCTACCATTCCTACGATAGTATACCAAAAGCAGAATCATGATTTTATCTTTTAGAATTGATTCAATTTGCATGGAAGAGCGTGGACACAATACTTTCGTCAATCTCGTCTGCAAAAATCATTTTGTCTTTCTACAGTGGATTCATTTGGTTCATTATTATCTCATTTTAGTAGTCGATCATTTTACAGTGCAATATGCCTGTATGTGTCATCTAGAGTAGCACAAGAAATTTATCTGCAGTATAGCATAGGTATATTTAATGTGCCATCCTTTCCTAGTACTTAATTCAGTCACTAACTGATTCTTAACCTGTCATGGATAAAAGTTAACGTTATCCAAAATGCGATAATGCATTCCCTAGCGCTCGTTTTCTTATCCATGGAAAAGACAGCGAGCGAGATTGCCAACAATTACGAATACTTTTTATACGCTTGATATTGGCAACATGATCACTAGAAGAGATTAACGATAGACAGATGGAGCACTATTTGGAATAGTTTATACAATTTAGATATGGCTGACTGAGACTGCTGGAATTACGGTAGCAAAATTCTATTTCCATAGACAATGACCCATCGATGCTACTATCTTAACAGTATCTAGATTATGTCTAAGCAAATGATCCATTTTAGAAGAAAATGATACAACGTTTAGTCTAATGTTGTCCAAAAAATGTCTATTTATCCTTTAATTTCCAGAGGCAAGGGTCAGTTACGTCTATGTAACTGCTATTTTCACAATTAATTATGCAATATTAAGTCTAATTTAATGTCTATTTGTCATTCGGTTAACCCCACTGTAACCGCTAAATCATCTTTTCATCATCCATTAAAGTTTCACTATATCCAGATTACATCTAAGTAAGTGATCCTTTTTAGAATCAATCATACAGCATTAAGTCTAATGAAGTCTAGTGTGCATTAATCATTTTATTTCCGAAGGCAATGACCCATTGTACCCACTAAGTCATGATTCTATCATCCACTGCAATTTCAAAAGTATGCAAATTATGTCAGAAGAACTGAGACTTTTAATAATAAATCATGATATAACTTTGAGTCTAATGTCTTTGATCACTTTTATTGGTAAAGGCAATAACCCATTGAGAGTATATACCCACTAAGTCATGATTCTATCATCCACTGCAATTTTAAAAGTATGCAGATTATGTCAAAGTAACTGAGATTTTCTATAAGAAATCATGTAACATGGAGTCTAATGTCTTTTGTCATTCTATTAGCAAAGGCAATAACCTATTAAGAGTATGTAGCCACTAAATCTTATTTTCATCATCTATCCAAGTTTGAAAAGTATCCAAAATATGCCTATGGAACTGATACTTTCCCAATTAAATTATGCACAACGTTGTTCAATGCCTATTTATTATGTTGATCCATGATTGACGTGGTTTGATATATGTATTATTTATTTTTCGACTTGTTTCTTTTTACTCTTTTATATTGGAATTATTATTTTCACTTGGTAAAATAATAATAAATGATGTCAGCGATCGTCGAACTGTTCTATTCCCCTCCCTATCGTGAAAATCATGACTATGTTGACTTTTGTTGCATGAAATTTGCCCCTTATGATGTTGAGAGATAGAACTATCTTTTGACTAATCGATGCTTTGTAAGCATAGCGTACACAAGTTCAAATCCAATTCCATTACAATTCCCATGTTGATAGACAGAATAACATCCATGATTGTTGTTTCAATGACATAGAATCGATACGATCAATCTTGTGATGGATAAACGATATAAAAAGTTACGCTTATAGCTTATCATGTTGTATGATTATGGCCCCAATGTCATTGGACTCCATTATAACAGTATTATAGAAGACAATCTTCATTAACGCAAAGTAATCATGTCATGAAAGCATGAAAGAAAAATAACCATTGCAAAACTAGGAGTAAAATAATCCAAAGTGATCGATTGCTACTATCCTTGTATAGTCCTACTATCGATTTCTATTGTCGATGGATACTTTGCAATGTAATAGAATCAATTCGTCTAGTTTATAGCATTTTTAAAATGAATTCCAACTCAGTTCATGGAGGTATCCAATCGATCGCTTAGTCTACAGAAAGTACGGCTATACCCCTTCCCCTTCCATCATGGACTTGTCCTTCTCTACTGGTAGCAAAGGTAAAGTTGTCATCATTTTATTCATAGCGGCCGACTTATTTTTTCCATCATGGATTTGTCCTTCTCTACTGGTAGCAAAAGTAAAGTTGTTATCATTCTATTCATAACGACTGATTAAAGTCTTCCATCTTATGGAATTGTCGACTATTTTCTCTACTGGTAGCGAAAGTAAAGTTATTGTCATTCTTTTCATAGCGACCGATTCATTTCTTCCAACATGGACTTGTCCACTATTTCCTCTACTGGTAGCGAAAGTAAAGCTAGTGTCTTTCTACTCGTAACAACCGATTTATTTCCGCCAACATAGATGGATTTAGTTTACTGAATGATTAGCATTCCCCTTTGATGATAGACTTGTACAATATTGTTCTCTACTCGTAGCCAAAATAAAGTTATTGTCCATTCTATTAGTAGCAATCAGCTTACTTCCGTGAACATCGATGAATTCAATCAAGTGGAGAATGCACATTCCCTTTTTATCATGGACGTGTCCAATAGTCGTTTTCTCTACCAGTAGCGAAAGCAAAATGTTTACTCTACTCATAGCAATCCATTTCTTTCCGCAATCATGGATGAATTCGTTTTATTCAATATTCTCTCTAACGCTAGCGCAAGTCAAGTTATAATCAAATTATTCTTAACAATTCATTTATTTCCGTAAGAGAGCGCCATTAAATTGTTTTTTTCCCTTTCGTCCCCAGTAAATTATTTCAATGCCCTACGTACACGTTTGTCTCCATGACGGTGTCGATGATTTGAAGGAAATAGAATCCATGTGTTGTAAAACGACAGGTGATGGAAATTAATTTAAAACCATCTACAGATGGTATCGGAGAAAGGGAGGTAAAACAAAGAAATTCTGCATTGATTAATTTAATATGAAAGCGTAATATTGTAATCCAATGGTGGAGAATTGTCCCATGGAATACAGTCTTGGGATGTTGACAAGGTGATTTTCTTTCTTAATGAGGAAATGATAAAGATCTCAGCTTGGGTCAATACCTTGTATTTGATTAATTATTGAACATAGGGCAGGTATACTTGATTAAAATGGGAGATGATATTCTGCACCTGAATTTCGGTTGCCTGGAAAGAGTGTAATTTATAGACTCCAATATTGACTCTTTCTTGAAAGATCAATTCTTTTTAGAAACGAGTACAATAAAATATTGACATTGGACGATATGACAAGTTTGCCTGTTTTTCCCCTCTCCATAGTCGCCACAACTACTTGATCTCTTCATGGAGTTACTAATATCTAGAATTCATAGTAATCGAGTTCATGATTTGAAGATTTTACGCTATGGTCAATACAAATCACGAATGTAAATTAGATACGCGTAGTTTCTCTTAATGACAGCGGATCATATTGTATCTGGTTAAGTTAGATATGATTTATTAAATGTCCATAGTTTCCTGAAGACCTTCACCATCATGATGTTGTACAATGATGACTAATTCCATTGCACATTCATAGCCATGACATCTGGAATGTTTTCCACTAAGTAGGTTATCGAACCTTTTAATGGTCAATATTCTTACATACTTAAGAATCAGAAGCATTCAACATAGGTCTAATTATTCATCGAAAGGCTAATCGTTTGTCATTGAATCCTATCTTCAAGCATAACATGATGATGATGTTGATGCAATGTCATCCAATATCGTATGGACTTGCTATGCAAAAGGAGGCTAACCAAGTAGGATCCTTCAAAAGTAAACGTGTTGTAGAGATCATAAAGTCTTTGATCATTTTAAACCCACCCAATTCAAGTTGCAATGCAATCAATATCGTCAGTAAGGATAGAACTAGGGTGGAAAAATAGGAAAGTAGTAGAGCCTCTTTCAAGCAGGGACTACGAAAGAGTAGTCCATGTTTCAAGGATCAAACGCCATCGCTAAGGGTTCTAAAATAAGATTGCAACTAGGGAGGAAAATATCAAAGTCGATGAACCTCTTTCAAGCAGGGACTACGAAAGCGTAATCCTTGTTGCAATGATCAAACGCCATCGCTAAGGATTCTAAAATAACTTTGCAACTAGGGAGGAAAATATCAAAGTCGATGAACCTCTTTCAAGCAGAGACTACGAAAGAGTAATCCGTGTTTCAAGGATCAAACGCCATAGCTAAGGATTCTAAAATAACTTTGCAACTAGGGAGGAAAATATCAAAGTCGATGAACCTCTTTCAAGCAGGGACTACGAAAGCGTAATCCTTGTTTCAAGGATCAAACGCCATAGCTAAGGATTCTAAAATAAGTTTGCAACTAGAGAGGAAAATATCAAAGTAGTTGAACCTTTTTCAAGCATCGAACGCCATCGCTTAGGACTAGCGAAATGGAGCGCTTTATTCAAAAGCAATTGCAATTAAAGTCATTACGAATATTAAGTTTAGTGAAGGAATCGTCGACATTTTTGTAGGACATTATTTTGCACTTGATACTGTAGCCAGGGAAGGAAGGCATCTATCTTTTCTAGCCATGTACAAGTATGTGCGTGTCGAGTTGTTATTTTGATAAAATAATTATCATCATTCATTAATTGACTGTAAGTCGTTGATGAATACTGCAGTGTCACAGTCTGTCCATAATCCTGATCAAATTAGGGTTTAGGGTACCCTTTTCATTATTGAATTTTTGGTCATTAGAATAGTTAGCCTCATTCTTTCCTTGACAACTTGATAGTCAAGTTGATGATGTCCAATTTTATTGGACATCATCGATAGAATAGAATGGATGAGTAAAGATGGCGATTATCTCTTGCATATTTATCGCTTTAAGGATAAACAATTCTCACATCATCATCTGTAATCTCCATAAGATAGCAAAAGCAATGTTGGACAAGGTGATGATTATTGTAAACATAAGAAGAAGAGAAAATGAAGACGAATAAGAGAAGATTGAGTTTTATATTACCCACTACAAATGTGTTGGTGCAATGTAAACTGGAGATACTCTTCATATTCATTCTCCCCTTATGTAAAAACACCATGAGTTGGTTTTCTGTTTTTCAGGCCAGTAAACTCCATCTAGTTTACAATTAAGTAGAGCAAGATATCCATCAAGCTTGCTATGGCATTTTTGTTGAATTGATATAGTACTGTACGTTCAGAATGATCTCTTCCATTTCCAATCAGGTGCAATATTATCATCATTTTCCGATTCGAGATACAATTATCTCTTTTGATCTATCTACTACCTCCAATCGGAAATTCAACATCATCTTGTGTATCTGTTAACGGGAGATGAAAACTTTCTCATCTCTGGCATCTCCAATCGGAGATTCAATATTATCTCTCTACTAATGGAAGATTCAAAAAATCACTTCTTCTCTCTCTCCAATCGGACATGAAAGTACTGTAGTTAACCTGGCAATTTGTCGTCCATTTATGAATGGACAAATTTAAAGAGGTTAATCTGCTGTTGTAAATTAGCTTGAAGACACATAGACGTACTGTAGGTCGACAGAGACAATTTGATCTCCATCATCCCCCCTGCTACTGTTTTAACTGTGGATAATGTAGAGAGTTGGAAGACAAAGTACTTTTGTTATCGTCCTGTTTGTCATAAGGTGATTTAACACAAATGAAATTCTTGAGCACAGTTGGTTATTGACATGTTCAATTTCCTGTTTAACTTTGTCCTTCAAACCGACTCTTTCTTCCAACATTGCAAAAGGATGCGAGTAAAAAAGATAAAACAAAATACAATATTGTAATTCAAGTCAATGAAAATAAAAATAAAAACCATTGCATTGTATCAATAAGGTCTAATGTGAAAAGCTATCGGGTTCATGTTCTTTTTTTCCTTTTTTTTTTAATATACAGTATAAATATATATACTATACATTGCTATTAACGTTGTAACCTTGTCCACACATTGGGAATTTTTTAAGCGAAAAGGTTTATGTCTGCCACTTTGTAAAATATCGATCAAGAGCAAAAATAATCAACAGGAAATAAATGCCATGGAACAAAACTAATGAGAGATTTTATTGACACTGGAAGGGTAGTCAAGAGGAAAAGAAAGCAGTTGGGTGCATGTTATGATATTGCATGATGATCAATTGGATTGAACATTAAAAGTAATCAATAGCCTAAGTTGGCATCTCTGTTTTTTTGCAATACAAGGGCAATTCAATTCCATTTATAACATGTGGACGCTATGGATTAGTCCAATGATGATGTCGGGGGTATACTGTAGAAAATTAGGGTTAATCTGGACAGCCATTGAAAAGATGAGAGAAAAGCCGCAAAATGGGCTGGTGTTGAGATACAACATGATTATCGTCAAGGATATCCCGTACTTGATGGACATCATCAACTCGTTCGGGGTACATTATCAAAGTAATTCAGTATTCGTGATAACTATTTAGAATTGTTATCAATAGCATCTTTGACAACATTTCATCATGACTTGGAAAGGTTTGATCAAGAGAAATGTTTTTTTTTTTCCCCCTCTTCGGAGGGTAATGGAAGGTTGCAAGGGAATCCATCTAATATTTTGGAAATTTCACCATCAGCAGCAAATCACAGTAATCCCATTATGAACTCATCCATCCAATGGAAACTGTATCGAAACTAGGCCATCATTTGCCCCACTCTTCAAGAGAAAGGATAATTGTTATCATTCTACCGATGCTTTACAACAAACACTCTTGGCAGGCAAAATAAGAATTGAAATGGTATGGTCCAAATTTATTCATGCATCAACATGGCCTAGCCGCCTAGTGCAGGAATTCAATCACAGACACTACACTAACTACTATCCAAGTTGCCACTTTGTAATCGTTGTTGTTGTCGTTACTATTGTCCAATAAATATACAGTAATATCCATAGGTGCCGAAATGATTATGAACAAGGACTAGCATCAATTGCTTTCAAATAATGTTCAATTGTAATCATGGACATTCTACGCTTCTACTTGCGGTATGGAGCAAAAATAAAGAAAAAAGAAAATCAAAAAAGTTCAAGTTAAGATTGAACTCGTAGTAACGACAAAAGTCGTTTTGACGAGCTTTGTAAAATCAAAATGATCAAACGGATTAGCCTGAACAATCTCATAATCAATCTTATTGCTATTAGCAATAGGCAGTTCAAGTGGAAGGATGGATGCTTGCTTGATAAATTAGGTGAGGGGGGATAGGGGAAAGAACTACGATAAACGTATTGGATATTGTTTTGAATGAAACGACAATCATCACTTACTGTAGACTCGTCTTGTTCAAGCTGTATTCTAGTTAATCGTAGATCATTTGATGATTAATGTACGATCAAGAATAATGGATAGAAACGATGCTAGCAATGATTTTCAAGAATGAATCAATCACTAGCAGTAGAAATGATACCCTCTATCGTATTAACAAGATCAATAATCGCCAAACGATCACTGGAAAATAGGATAGTATCCACTGGTTGGATTAAACAACTAGTCATAATCATATTCCAAAGGATGGATAGGATCGACATGAAAGCTTGCATGACAATTAATGCATTGTAAATTGTTGTACCGTCGTTCATTGAATCTTACCTTCATTTTTAGTCCAAGAATTCCATAAATCTTCAACCGAGATAAATTTATCATTGGCATGCAATGTTTCTTCTCGATCATGGTCATTTTGCAAGTGTAATTCTTGGCGTAGAAACTATTGGATGATATAGATGACCAAGAGGAAAATTAACAAGAGCAGAAATTGTGCCCAATACACATACTGGATAATGATGATGATTATCGGTCAAGTGATGATAACCATGATGTTGTATTTTTAATCATCATTTGTAATGTTGGTTAGACGGATGCAAATTGAGTTTATAATAGAAAATACACCTCGTTAACGAGAGGTTGTGAGCGAGCAATTGATTTTTAGAATTTAATTACGCTAACATTGATTTTGATTAAAATAGAATTAGCAAACTAGTGTATTGTGTCAAAACGAGCAAATGGCGGTTGCATTCGATTTGAGCAACAATGATGATGATTTGGACGAGTGGAAATAAGGTGGTGTTAAAATCGATTGGCTAAGCAGATTGAACAAATTATTATTTGCAATGGCTTGGCATGGAATAGAAATACGATATTATAGCCAAGATTCTGCCCTATTATTACTCCATCATCAAGGTCAAAATGGGTGTATTGATTGACGTATTGACTACTAATATCATGGGAGGCTAGCGTCAACATGATGACTGTCATGATAGAAAGGGAAAGAAAGATTGCTTACCTCTTGTGTTTCGTTAATATCGACATTACCACTACGATCATCATCTAAATGGGCATGAATGGCGACAATGGCCTCAAATGTGCCTCGATCTTTGACATCTTTGGCTTGATCTAGGGGGGAAAAAAATGGGAAAAGAAATGAAACCATTTTCTACACACACAATGTAAAATGACAGAAAGCCATTGCAAAAGGCATCTCGTGGAAATGATAGCCATTGATGTTCGCTAAATATTCAATCAAGACAACATGAGCAACAACGATGGATACTGTAGGAGAGGTGGAGAGAAGAAATATGATTTCATTGCTTGTTTGCAGTTATTGAATTGCAAGCGATTTACGCGGCTACGAATGGATTGCATTAGGATGGTGTAGCCCTTCGAAAGTGGACGAGAGACCGATTGATTGATTGGCCAAGTCCTGTCTCTCTCGGATAGGACCATCGCTAACGCTAGAATTGTATGTCTTGTAGAGTGAAGATAAAGCAATGCAAATGGAGGTAAAGACGACAACATGCAATGGATGAGGAGAGGATTGCCTAGATCGGTCGACCGATATGAATGTTCGGCATTGAGTAAACAATCCTCCTTGTTGATGATGAGAGTTTTGTATGTGTATGTGACTATGTGGTGTATTTGGATGGGCAACAAGAATGGCAAATCAATTTATGCTATTTACCTGTCGCTTTCTTCTTCTTGATTTGCCCATCGTTACAATCGACGATACTAGCCATCATCAAGACGATGGCTAGAAGAAAGCAAAGGAAAGACAAGTGGTTGGCCATTTTTTTTCCCCCTCTCTCTATTGGACTTGGAGTAATGAAGAAGAACACTTTTCAACGGATGCCCAATGTCCTTGCATCGACACCACCAATGTCATACGATTCTTGCTTGGATCGAGTGATCCAATGTGTCCACCACTTTCAAGTCTAATTGACGATCGTTAAAGTGATTGCCGTAGTAGCTGTATTTTTCCCCTTCTCTCCAATAATCAATGTTGAATTAAACGACGATCAATCAAATTTTTATTTTTTTTTTGCCCTCTTGGCTCTTGCTCGCCTGCCTCTCTTTTCCAATTATTTCGGCCTGTATCGTGTAAATCAGAACAATAATTAATGATTGTCCAGGAATAGATAATCAATCTGAATACAATGTAATCGAGTCAAGTCAGAGTTCAAAAACGATACACTTGAGTGCACGTACTCTACCGTCTTGTCCGGTTGTCAGTCTGTAGACCCAGCGGCGTCAGCTTCTCAGTACAGTACTGTACTGTACACCACTCTGCTGCCTTGTACTGTACTGTACAGTACAGTACAATGAGGGAGCAGCACTGTACTGTCCCATCCGATTGTCAGTCTGTAGACTCGGCGCATCTCAGTCCACGACTCTGCTGCCTCATACTGTACAGTGTACAGTAAAGTACAATGAGGGAGCAGTACTGTACTGTCCCATCCGATTGTCAGTCTGTAGACTCAGCGCATCTCAGTCCACGACACGACTCTGCTGCCTCATACTGTACAGTGTACAGTACAGTACAATGAGGGAGCAGTACTGTACTGTCCCATCCCATTGTCAGTCTGTAGACTCAGCGCATCTCAGTCCACGACTCTGCTGCCTCATACTGTACAGTGTACTGTACAGTACAGTACAATGAGGGAGCAGTACTGTACTGTCCCATCCGATTGTCAGTCTGTAGACTCGGCGCATCTCAGTCCACGACTCTGCTGCCTCATACTGTACTGTACAGTGTACAGTACAGTACAGTACAGTACATTGAGAGAGCAGTACTGTACTGTCCCGTCCGATTGTCAGTCTGTAGACTCAGCGCATCTCAGTACACGACTCTGCTGCAGTGCTGCCTCATATTATATTATAGTGAGTACAGTACAGTACATGGAGGGAGCAGTACTGCACTGTCCCATCCGATTGTCAGTCTGTAGACTCAGCGCATCTCAGTAACACGACTCTACTGCCTCATACAGTGAGTACCATAACATTTTGTCACTTTCGGGCAATATTTTTCTTTAAAAATACAGTAAAGCTATGATAGATTGCTATATTAGGTTGATAATCAGTATTTGCTGGTTAAGAGCACTGGTTGATGCTTTTCAAAGTGACAAAATACAGTACTTTGATACACACTACTGTATTATACAGTACTGTACATTGAGGGAGCACTAACGTCCTGTCCCATCCAATTGTCAGTCTGTAGACTCAGCGCTTCTCAGTACAGTATGCAGTATGCGACTCTGCTGCCTTGTATTGTACAATGTACAGTACAGTACAGTACAGTACCGTACAGTGTACAGTGTACAGTACACTAGTCTCCGCCATCTTGCAATTCTACTGTACTGTACTTTACTACCTACAGTATTGCTGAAACTGCCATGACTACGCAACTTCTACTACAGGTAGAACCCATTCCATGCTACCGACAGGACGAGTCCATGTCAACACTGTCCAAAAATCATTGCTGCATCATTGCAAAGACTATTTTTGCTATTGCTAAACAGTCTTCTCCTGTTGCAAGACGCTTCAAAATACCTTGGTTGTGTCTATTTTCAATACAGATGAAACTCAACATCGAGTAACATCTTCTCGGTCCGACTAGCCATCATCAATTTCAACAACAAAGTTGAAATCAACAAGCAGGATATTCTGCTGTACTGTACTCTAGTCGGTCGCTACTTTCCATCATTCAATTCATGATTGAAACAATCAATCCATTGGTTGAGCAGCCAACATCAACGCGCCGCTTTAACAACTTCCAATTCCATATCCCGCATGATGCTTCGATAAAAAGAGTAACTGTATCCACTTATTGTATCCACTCAAAGCGTTATAGTAACACTCTCCATTTTTCTCCCGACAATCGTGCCTCCAACTTCCCTGCCAAAACTGCTGTCCTTCCATCCGTATAGCACAATACCATACTATCCATCGGCAATGCCATCTCTAACTCTACTCTTCAATCGAATTAATAAATCGACTGTTCATTCATGAATGGCAAAAATATTCATGACGAGTAGCTGAGACCTGCCATGAAACCGACTGTCTGCAGTGTTGTACTGTCCATCTAGCATGTACCACTACCCTTTTCGTAAAAGATTACTATTCATTTCTACGCCATGGGTTAGTCTTTGATCCAACTGCAAGCCAATCATGGCTAGGAAAACAATTGCACGATAGATTGATTTCTATATACTGTCTTTTAATCTTCAAACCCACTCTAGCCTTAGTGTACAATACTACTACCATTGCATCGTCATAAGTCAGCGTTTTTCTATCGTAAATACATGGGAAACTACGCAAACTACTCTTCAAATACCGCAAGGAAATGAGCAAACTGCTATGCAAACTAGCAAAATGGCCTCTTGCCTTAGGGGATCATTTCAACTCGACATTGCTCTACTCTACTACGAATCTTGATTCATGTATAAGACATAATAGAGTGAGTAAGTCAACCAAATTGAATCAATTGAAGAAACAAACTAGCATTTCGTCCGTATGTCTATGCGTCTGTGCGCTCGTCTACAGGTGTCGCGCTGTCTGTCACAGCTTCTCCACGAGTACCGCGACCGCAGACCCTCTTGCTATGGCCGCCATCCACAAATATCTGTCTTGTTAATCCATTTCTAACGCTTATACAAGCAACCAAAGGAAAGTACTCGGTTACAATCTACGACATTCAAAGCAAATAGTGGCTAAATTGACATTTTACAATGCCTATCAAGAGTAAGAAAGTCCGATTTCGCCTTGAAGTCAATGAATCCAGGCAGGGAATAAACGAGGACTCGGTAAGAACCTTAATGAAGGTAGTAATTGATGTTAGTCATCTCCCATTCGTGGCCCAAAGGACAGCAATGATGAACAATTTGAACTCCTATTCATTCGAGTTGATATTATTGACCTACCAAGACTACGTTATTGTCGCTTGTGCTAATTCATGCCTGTAATAATGTTGCACTAGATGATCGCCCAATCAATGATAAATTGCAAAGGGCCAATCGATTATGCGAGTTTCTTGATAGCTTCCAAAATCCAAATGGATATAAAATTGTAGAGTGCTGTACTGTCGATTTGATTATCACACAACCTACGAGCACTTGCTGTATCCTATGTCCAAAGTATTAATAGCATAGGCTACAGTAAAAGCATATTGCAACTGTAGACAAATTTCAATGTCCAAATTTATACCTCATGCTTTACTAGTAGTACAGTATACATGCTGCAAGTAGCTGAATTAGTCATGACTACAGTAGTCAGTTGCTCAAGCTAACCACATGAACACCGCGGCATAGAGTAATTTCGGTCTCTTGCTCTTTGGTACTAATTGCACATGCTCCTATTGGCTCGGAATCGACCAGTATTAGCCTAGTAAAAGTGCACATACCTTACAATGTACCTTCAAAATGCAGACTGTACGATTGCATATACTCCTATTGGCCCGGTATCGACCAGTATTAGCCCAATAAAAATGTACATACCTTACAACGTACCTTCAAAATGCAGACTGTATGATTACACATACTCCTATTGGCTCGGAATCGACCGGTATTAGCCCAATAAAAGTGCTCATACTTTACAATGTACCTTCAAAATGCAAACTGTACGATTGCATATACTCCTATTGGCTCGGAATCGACCAGAATTAGCCCAATAAAAGTGTGCATACCTTACAACGTACCTTCAAAATGCAGACTGTACGATTGCACAATGCACATACTCCTATTGGCTCGGAATCGACCAGTATTAGCCTAGTAAAAGTACACATACCTTACAATATACCTTCAAAATGCAGACTGTACGATCGCTTGCAACTTTCTGTCAGTCATCATTTTGGAATCAATGTCCATTGCTATAAAACAGCCTTCCCTAGTGAACAATTCAAAGCAAAGACTGGACCAGTTATGACCACTCCAAATAGAATGAAATGATTACATCAATAAATTAAGCTAGGAATGCAATCTTGCATCGTTACATTACATGATACTTAAAATTGGACAAGAAACTAGCATTGAATTACCTACAATGAATCCAATAAACTCTTTAATCAATAGGCTTACAACCCCTAATGCAAGCCTACACTGTTATTGCACCGTTACAGAATGTTTCATGCAAAAGTTCAACAAGTAAATATTGTTACGGTAATAGATCTACATTAGCTCGTGATATTTCCAAGGAAAGAGTAAAAATCGACAATAAGATATTCAATATTGAATAGAATTGGACAGGAAATATCTACTAGGCATCATAATCTCAAGGATAAAGTTTTACTCACCTACACGTACAAGAAAAAGTTTCTATCAAACCATAAAATATACGCACAGATAAAGATAGTTATCCATCGTAATTTTTATTAACCACTCATTAATATCCTATCTAATGCAGTAATGCTAATCTGATCGAGTAAACTAGGCTTCCAGTCGGTAATGATTGTAAAATATCAACTCTCCCCCTTGAGATCTCTCTGCAAATAGACCCTTCATAGTTTATCCAATACTGACTGATGTAGAATATATTGTATACAGTATTTGGAATCGTTTTGATGATACTAACTGTGAATATTTCAAAATTCTAATGTTACAGTCAAGTGAAGATGAAAACCATGAAATAGATGAAAACCATGACAAATTATTAGCTGAAATAACTGCTATGGGAAATGAAAAGAAAAAAAGGTATAATACAAACTTGTTATAACCCCTTTGCTTCTATGAATGATTATGTGGTATTCTAGACTTTGTTAAATTGGAGTATAAAATTGCATAATTGTTGAGCTTTAGTACCATGAAAAATTATATACTAGTTTGAAAGTGATACTCTAACCATTCCAACCTTGAATTTACGCGTATATAGAGCATATTCGCAGCGACCTACTTATATAGGTAAGGATTAACCATAAAGGTGTTCTTTTCTATTTTACCTGCAGAAAAATACCAGTCAGAACAGAGCCAAGTCCTAATGTGTCTGATTTCGGAATTTCAGCTGGCTCAGGTATTTATCAAAACAAAGTGACAGTCACGTTAAAAGTAAACGTGCTTTTCACATGGATACTACCGTTAACCCTTATCATAATACACTAATAAACTTAGGCAAGGGACAAAAAATTGTATTCCAAGACCTTGTGGCTTCTATTAAGAAATCCAAAAAACTTAAAAATATTAAAGATCAATTGGTATTATTGGAATAATGCGTTTGTAGCGCTATTAAAGTAGATTAAACTGTCACCGTCGACAATCTTCTGATATCTTACAATACACTTGATATAGAACACAGTTAAAGTCGATCAAAGCGTGGTTGAACCGCCTATACCTAAACCCCAATTGGAAAGAGTATGATTTTCTTACTATTTGAGTTTTCGAAAACCTTACAAGTTACCAAGTTTAACTTTTCACCTCCAAAAATTGTAATTTTTTATTACAGTTTCAAAGGACAGTTCTATATCAAGACACATCGAAAGATATCTCGAAATGGACTGATACAATCAGACAAAATCGCAAAGTAATAATTCTTACTTTATTTTGGTTCCATCTTGTAGTCATGAAATACTATTGCTATATCACAGTCATTATTCAAGTTGATAATTATGCAGAAAGATAGACATAAGTGATAAAATTAATCAAATATCGCCCTTTTCCCACATTATGAATAATTTTTGGAACTTGTTGAAAGGCTGAACACTTATCCTTTCCGCTAAATCGCTATCGACCGACGAAATCGTCACTTTCTACAGATTCTGTTCAATTCAAGGTAAGTGCTTCTAGCCCGGAAAACGGATTTCGATGAATACTGGCTGTAAGTTTATCCAACTATAACCCATTAGGTTAGTACGCCATTGGAACAAGAAATTGAGACAATCCTTAATAAAAGCAAGAAAAATATTGAATCGCGAAACAAAGAGTTGACTGAAGCTGAGGAAGAAGCTTTAAAAACCATGGACTTAGAAGAGGTTAAACATTTTGCCAATCGATATTAATAAATACCTTTACACTCTACTATACATAATTTAACCAATAGTATATGTCAATTTCTTATACTATTGTAAGGCAAAAGAGCGATTGGCCGAACTGAGAAAAATGCGAGCTTTGCAATCCCATTATGAGCAAAAATGCAAAAGACAAAAGAAAATTAAGAGTAAAAAGTACGAAAATACATATCTCTTGTGCTGCTTTATCTATTCCATATCGTTCAATTCTAGAAAAATGGAATAAATGCCTTGAATCAATTCCAATATAGGTACCATAGAATTAAGAAAAAGGCAGAAAAAAAAAAACTTACCAAGATGTCAATGGAGGAGTTAATGAAACAAGATCCAGAAACAATCAAGGATGATTTAGAAAAGGAAGAAAGAGCAAGAGCCCTGGTAAACAATTAGTAGCATTGTCCTGATAAAAGTCTTTAAGCTAAAGTTTCAATCCATGCTTTATAATATAGTACACTACATTGACGTTTGCCTTACTGAATACAATGTGCAATGCTTTTAGGAACGTGTTTCTTTAAGGCATCGAAATACCTCCAAGTGGGCGAGATATTTAGCTGCCAAAGGCCGTAACAATCCTGAGGTTGTATATCCAATAAATGTCTCGATTAACAATCACTATGTTGCTATACGTACCTGCGTTCTATACATATGTGTGTATACAGATTGAATACATTATGCATAAACACTATTCATTTTAAAATGACGAGGAATAAAATTTTGAATACTTGGCGAATTATTTAGACTCGTAAAGCACTCACTGAACAATTGAAGAAAAGCCGTGAACTTACAGAGAAGAAAGAATTTGATCTAAATACAGCCAAGGAAGATGAAAATGATCGAGATAGCCCTGATGAAAACAATGTGGATTTAACAAAAATTATTAATCCTAACCAATATAATCCATGGTTAGCTTCAACAAATAGCTCTAAGCAAGAATCGTCACATAAAGATGTAAATACAACTGTACAAAGTAAACAACCAGCCCTTGAACCTCGTGCTATTGAATCTGATAGTGACTATTCTAGTGTAACAGATGACAACGACGATATCGACATCACAAAAACTAATCCTGATCAGAATAAATTGGACGCCAAAAATGAACTAGATGAGTTTGCAATAGATGACGATGTGGATAATAATAGCATTGATCAGCAGGATGCACAGCCCAATATTACCTCTGCTAAGGAGACAAATTCAAAGAAGAGTAAAAAATCTTTTCACATAACTGAAGAAGCATCCATTAATCCTAATAAATTTTTAATTCTTGAAGATCGTAGCAAGAATGCATTAAATTTCACTTATGATGGCAATGATAGTGAAGACAGTGATGATTCAATTGTAAACAATCAACTTAATGTAGAACAAGCTTTTGAAGATGACGATGTAATTGAAGAATTTCTAAAAGAAAAGGAATTATCGAAAGAAGCTTCTAAACCAAAGGAGACCGATTTGAGATTACCTGGTTGGGGAGCTTGGAGTGGTGCTGGAATTAAAAAACGTAAAAAGAAAACCAAGCCTGTACCTCCTCCTCCCCGTCGACAAGATGATCACTTGAAGAATGTCATCATTAATGAATCTGTCGATGAAAGATTTACAAAGCATCAAGTTACTCAGTTACCCCATTCTTGTAGAAATTATAGAGCTTGGAATAATACAATGAATAAACCTATCGGACGACATTGGAACTCTCAATCTACGGTAGAAAAATTGACACGACCTCGTATTTCCACGTTAATGGGAACGATAATAGATCCTATCAAGCCACCTAAAACAATTAATAAGAATAAGAAAGCCAAAGATTCGTCCAGTAGTACTAGCTTAAAAATCTATTAATGTTTTATAGCTACTTTATATTACTTTATACAACAAGTTTATGCTAAAAGACTAGAGTGGTACATCTAATAAACAACAAGAATCAAGCTTATTCAAATTACAGCGTCAAATTTTGCGAACGTTTTCACTTTATTTGTAAACTGTTACTGATTTGACAGGAATAGTGCGCTTTATAATTATATTTGACAGTGATCAAGAAAGAGGACAGTTGGTAATTATTCCGATTACAGAATCAAACATTTATTGGATAAATCATTTTAATTGATCTATACGGAGTATATCTTGATGATAGTGTACTATAGCGTGGATTTGATGCTATTATTACTACTACAATTTCAGTTTATTTAGCACTGTTCTTCCTTACGCTTTTTAAAATATCTGACTGTGATATATTAATCCTTGGCTAATTCATTAAACATATTAACCCGACTATACTCAACGTGGCTTATTTATAAGATGTCGTTTAGTCATTTTCTGGCTTCTATTGAAAGTGACTGTGAGCAGAAACATTGGAGAGCTGATGTATTTTTTATAATATCCCAATTAAATTCTAGTTCAATGTATATCTGGAAATGGTGTTTGACGTATTGATGAATTATAACCACGTCAAAGTACAATATACCGTAGTCATTATGTATTATACACGTATCATTATTGTCATTTGACTTGTAGTAATAGACTGTGCAAATGCCTTGCATCTTGAGATAGGAAATTGACCAAGGAATTGATAATTTAAAATTTTCTTAATTAGACTGATTGATCAATCGTTCGCACCTAACTGTATATTGCGATTAGTTTGTGCATTGATCAATCCTATTTCCACTACTCTATGCTGTAAAGATGGAAAGGTAAAGGGATGACAGTTCAACTGGCTTAGTAGTAGTCGAAACCTGCATATTTTGCATATGTATGTGTAAGCACTCGAGGTCTACAGCTGTAATCGTTCGCAGGCCAACTCGATTTCTTTTTCACTTTCTGGAATTTCCTCTATATCAAGATATCGCATGCATGTTCCCTTTTACACTTTACTGTAAAGATGGGCAAGAAGTCTGTGCCTCCGCCATCTGTAATCATCAATACCACTGCGCATGCTCTGAACTCCCATAATAAAAGTAATTACAACATGAATAGCACATAAATAGGCTCAGCAAGACATTCTAGTCGTGTTGTATGAGCCGAGAGAAGGTTAGCATCTCCCTCGATAAGGACGAGAAAAGTCTCCGGACTTTCAACATACACACAAATGGTTAAGGCATTGCCACCTACTTTGTGGCATCTGACCATCTTTTAAATTATCATTTTGACCATTTCCACGTATTTAGCCTTAATCTAGCCTCAACTGAGCATACTGTACGTATTGCAGCATTTAATTAAAGTAATTTGGATAGTAGTAGCACATAAACTCAGCTAGGCATTCTAGTCGTATTAAGAGGACGAGGAAAGTCTCCAGACTTTCAATATACACACAAAGGGTTAAGGCATTGCCACCTACTTTGTGGCATCTGACCATCTTTTAAATTATCATTTTGACCTTTTCCACGTATTTAGCCTTAATCTAGCCTCAACTGAGCATACTGTACTGTATGTATTGCAGCATTTAATTAGAGTAATTTGGATAGTAGAAGCACACGAGCTCAGCTAGGCATTCTAGTCGTATTAAGAGGACGAGGAAAGTCTCCAGACTTTCGATATACTGTACTGTACACACAAATGGTTAAGGCTTTGCCACCTACTTTGTGGCATCTGACCATCTTTGAATTATCATTTTGACCTTTTCCACGTATTTTGCCTTAATCTAGCCTCGATAAGGACGAGAAAAGTCTCCGACTTTCAACATACACACAAATGGTTAAGGCATTGCCACCTACTTTGTGGCATCTGACCATCTTTTAAATTATTATCATTTTGACCATTTCCACGTATTTAGCCTTAATCTAGCCTCGATTGAGCAAACGTAGTGCAGCATTTAATTAAAGTACTATGAATAGTAGTAGCACATAAATAAACTCAGCTAAGCATTCTAATCGTGTCATATGGACGAGAAAAGTCTCCGACTTTCGACATACACACAAATGGTTAAGGCGTTGCCACCTATTTTATGGTATTTGACCATCTTTTAAATTATCATTTTGACCTTTTCCACATATTTAGCCTTAATCTAGCCTCGATCTCCCTCGATAAGGACGAGAAAAGTCTCCTGATTTTCAACATACACACAAATAGTTAAGGCATTGCCACCTACTTTATGGCATCTGACCATCTTTTAAATTATCATTTTGACCTTTTCCATGCATTTAGCCTTAATCTAGCCTCGATTGGATATAACGTATTGCAGCGTTTGCCGACTGCTTTATGCCGTCAGACCATCGATGAAATGCTTCATCTCTAAGCATTTACGTGGATGCGTATTTGACCTTGATTTTGGATTCTCCTGTCAAGCACGGTAGTAAACTACTGTTGCTAAATACTCGCAGCTACCTAGAATGATTATTCTTGTCTTCTGTAAAGAATCCACTAGTAAAATGACCCAATATTCCTCACTGAGTAGGAATAGTAGGAGCACACCGTACCTTTAATAGTATAAAAGATAAATGGCCACTTGATCGTTAACAACAAGGTCATTTTTCTAGTTAGTAAACTACCGTATCTTGTTGCTGACATCATAGTATAACATTACGAACTCTTATCCCGTCAGGAATCCATGAATAAAAATGGTCCATATTCTAAAATAAATACGAATAGCAGAAATAGATTGTATCTTTCATAATAAAATATATAAGAAATAAATAGGCGTTTAATGATTAATGACAATGTCATATTTTTCTCTTGTATAAAAATAGACTATAATGAACATTTATTTTACAAAGAATCCACCAATAAAAAAGAAAAATATTCTAAATAGAGGGTGTAATTCATAGGAAGAACTATCATATTCTACGATTCAATTTCTACATTATAACAAGTAATGGAACCTTTATGATTATCAAATATTATCCTAAATAGTAAACCTCGTTATACTGTCATGATTAACTGGTATTGGGCATTTTTACCCGAATTGTAACAAGATTTATTTTAGCAAAAGCAATTTCTTTTCTTACTTCTATTTCTCAATCTTTGCTTAGCAAGAATGACGATTAAGACACCCTGTCTGTAACGTGGAATAACAAGTCATTGATGGCAAACCTCCTCATCCTATCATGATGAACTGGTATCGCCATTTATACCTGATTTATAACTAGAATTTACCTTATAGCAAAACTAATTTTATTTATTACTCCTATTTCTCAATCGTGATAATTATGTCACCGTGTCGCTAGGGTGGAATGACAAGTCGATGATGACAAACCTCCTCATACTGTCATGATGCACTGGCATGGAGTATTTGTACGCAAATTACAACTAGAATCCATAGCAAAAACAATTTCATTTATTACTATTATTTCTCCACTATTACTTAGCAAGAATGACCATCATTCTATCGTCCCTCTTGGATGCAATAACAAGTCCTTAATGACATAATAACTGTATTAGGATGCAATCTTATTGTTATGGTAAATTAATTTTCTATTGAGAATCATTTCTAAACTATGAGTTCAATTCAAAGCGTTTTTGTTATCTAAGCTTGGAGGTAATTTATTCTATTGTTGAAGATAATTTGTTATCAAATTATGATAACAATTTGATTGTTTAACCATTGTTATCTTTCAAGAATTAACCTCAATCATTGATTTATAAATTGTCTTGATACCCATACAGTAGATATCGATTAATACAAATTAAGACTAATAGTGAATAGATGGACACTAATTGCACCCATCCATAATCTTGCTCTCCTTTTCTGTCCGTCTTTCTTTAATCATGATTGACTAAATTCTATTCTAATTGGATATTATTGATATCCGTATATCATGTTAATTGTTATTGCTACTTAGACAGAAAGAAAATTCTTCTGTATTGCTTGAATAACTTGTCTGGATAAGTCTTCCACTCCATCAAAACATCCAATTGAAATAGCTTGTTGAAAAAGGAATTGATGGTTTCGTGATGACTATTTTACTATCGACCTATTGCCTACTCTTCGTATGCTAAAATAAATCTATAAACCGAGTATAGATTACGCCCTAGATTGGTATTGCTTTGTTTCTGACATCTTACGTTACTATTTTTCCTTTCTTTCTTTTTTCTTTTTTCAGTTATTAGCACCTGTCTCTCATTCTTTACTACTATTTACGTTGGTGTATGCATCATCGTACAGCTTAAATAAGTAATTTTTAAAAGGCAAAAAATTGATTCTATTTTATCCAGTGCATGTAATTAACAGTAAATCGCAGTCGTTGGCAAGTCCTGCTGTCGACTATTCACCTTTGCTCATTAACATATTCAACATTAGGACTATTATAGTCGTTTCATAGCGACGAGAACGCTAGAAACAAGACCCAGACAGCCTCCTGATTGGTTGATGATTAACTTATCAATATTCCTTCCAGAAATAAACCAATCTTAATATTGTTGAATTAATTGGATTCGATTGCTGCTCAACTCTTCCATTTCATTTCCTGATACAAACTTGATGAAGCATCAAAATTATATTGGATGTTGTAAAAACAAAAAAACTATCAATCATGTCAACTTTAACATTCAAAATTAGCGATAATGCTCCCGATGCTATACGTAATTTATTATTATCACGAGGGTGGCAAGAATTGGATGAAGACGATGAAAATCAAGTTTGCCATTTATGGTGGAAAATTGCACGATTTCGCTTAAATGATATTCAGCATGCTCTACCATGGCAATATTTTAATCATTTCCCGAATGCTAACGCTATTACACGAAAGGATACATTAACAAGAAATTTAAATCGTATGAAAGCAACCTATGGCAACATATTTGATTTCTTTCCTACTACATTTAATTTACCCAATGAATATACACGATTTGTTAACGAATTTTCACGTCGTCGTTCATTTGATCATCAACAACAGTTGCAACAACAACAACAACAGCAACAGCAAGCTTTGCTACAGCCACAACAAGATAGCAACTTATGGATATGTAAACCGGCCGATTTATCACGAGGTCGTGGCATTTTTATATTTAAAGATTTAAATGATTTAACATACGATTGTAGTGCAGTTGTTCAACATTATATTACAAATCCACTGTTAATTTCCGGTTATAAATTTGATTTACGATTATATGTTGTGGTTACATCCTTTCATCCATTAACAGTTTATGTCTATCGTGAGGGATTAGTACGTTTTAGTACGGATAAATTCAACTTATTATGTTTAAATAACGTTTATTCTCATTTAACCAATACGTCAATTAATAAGCATGGGCCATCTTATTCTAAGGATAAAGATATAGTCGGCCCAGGTTGTAAATGGACATTTAGCCAATTATGGAATTATCTGCATAATCGCAATATCAATAGCAACGACATCTGGCTTAAAATTAATACTTTAGTCATTTTGACATTATTAACCCAAGCACCGACAGTACCGCAAGTATCCAACTGTTTCGAACTGTATGGATTTGATGTCTTAATTGATGAAAATTTAAAACCTTGGCTATTAGAAGTCAATTTTTCACCTGCTCTATCATTTGATTGTCAGGCTGATCTCGAAGTGAAAATGCCACTATTAAATGATTTATTCGATATCTTGGGCTTTGGAGAAGTTGAAAAAGTAGTTAGTAAAACAATGAATGAAACTGATCGATCTGATGGTTATAAGCAGCACCAGCAACAGAATGACAACAAAACAATTAATTTAACGACTCAAAATAATAATTACTATTCAACAAATTCTGATAGTCGTGATAGTGAAGATAATGATTTACAGGATGAAGTAGAAATTAATGAAGGACGAAAGAAAAAGATATTTATGCGGGATAAAAGACATCAACATCGTCTATCAAAAAGTAAATCCCACTCAGTGTCAAAAATTAAAGGAAAATCTCGTCAACATAAATCAACATCAACAAAGTTGCCCTATATAACTCCAAGTCATCAATATCTAACCACAGCTACACATCAAAGCACCCAAAAATATCAATTATTTTCCAAACTTCAAGATATTCCAAATGATTTAGTCAATAGTTTAACCAATAAGAAAAGGAAACACCGAGAACAACAAAATCAAAAGATACGATCAATACTAGACCGATGGCGTAGTGAAGCAAGATCAATTAATCAAATTGGCAATTACGTTAAAATATTCCCATTTAATCAAATAACCATGAAATCATTCAAAGGTGACTCAGTCGACACCAAAGCAATCGTTCGTGAACTAGTTAAAATTAATAGGCAGTTACTGTCGACTTCATCGGTTAATAGGTTAAAACAAGTTAATAGTCAATTGACAGCCTTATTCTAACAACTGCAGCGCCACACCAGCACTGCATAAACTCGTAGATCTTACAAAGATCATCTTATTTAATTATATATAAAAGTCATCAAAAATTCAACAATGCCATAATTGTATGATTTAATCATTTTTTTGGCATCATTTTGGAATAAGTTGTTGTTATTCATTGTCACATAAAATTGCAAACTGGATAACTTAACGGAAAATTCACAAATAAAGATGTTCGAGTATCATATACTGATATATATTCCTATGCATGCGTACTACCAAATCCTCTTACTCATCATTCTGGAACAGTCTCAATACATAGGACGTCTTATCTTACAAAAATAAAATTTTAAAATACGATTGAACTTGATTGTATTTAGAACTCAGGGTTTTCTTGAAAAACTATTGAAATTACATCATATCAGGAAAGGACTGAAATCGGTTAAGAGTTTTATTGATCTTTCCAGTGATTAGGTTAATGCCTTATAGGAACACCTTTCAAAAATCCTACCAATAACAACAGCTGTAGGAATACTTTACAATATTATATCGAATTAAATCCGATTATCAATTTGAAATAGTTCACCACTTCACTGTATTTGAATTTCTTAAATTTCTGAGAAGAATACAATAGTATGCTGTCGATAGAGAAATGTAAAGTTCTAATCGGGAAAAAAAATAACGTCACCAAAAAGGTATATAATTTTATACACTGTACAGAAACAGACACCATAAATATATATTAACCAATTTCTCACTGTAGAGCGCCTACAACTATGAAAGATTATAACTGTACACTAAAATACGAGTATCGTCATAAATTTACAGCTAAACCAAAATTTGCGGACGCAGTATAAATTATTTAAGTCATCTTCTGCCTGGATTCTTCCTATTTCTTCCTTATCTGATCTATGACTTCTAATATATCGTAGCGCTTGTTGCTAACTTCGTCGAGATTGAACCACTTGCGTAAATGGATAGGGGGAGTGTAATCATTGAAGGGATTCTGTAGAATATTATAAATATTATTAAGAAACTACACAAATTAGGACAACATGCATTAGTAACCCACGACCAAACATGTTAGATAATTTAAACAACGATTTAAAATACTAAGCTAAAGAGTACCTTGAAAAAGCTTTCGAAATATTGCAGAAGATATAAGCCACAATCACAATCGTTATTCTGGTGAGGAATCTATCTCATGTACAATAATATCAGCTGTATTTCAGTAAAATTGCATGCATTGCAGAATTTGATTTCAAATGATTTCTTAAAGGTATCATTACATTACAAATAAGTTATTACCTTTGGACAATATCCCGGTACAGTTTCCGAATTAAACTTTCTACTGACCTCATTTTTATTTTTCCATTCCAATGATAAATAACTAGAGTAATAGGCATCAATAAAACTAGTTCATCATCGATGAAAGCCATGGAAATGTGTAATAGATTATTACATTTTTGTATTTTGACATCTTAAGTAATACGCATTATTACTCACAGTCTTAAATTTCTAAACACAGCCGGTCTTGGACATCCAAGGGAATCAAAGACCAAAATACAAGATCTATCAAAAGTCGTAATAAACCGATAAAAATTACAACTGTGACAGTTATTGCTTATAAATTTATTTATTTACTATCCTCAATACCAACAACTTTACCTCTTACTGATCCTGATTGATGAATCACCAGTATGCCTTGATCTACCTGTCATCTTTGATGACGATGATTCATCGTCTGGATTTGAATCCTGAAGTATTATCATCAGTTACCAATCAATTTAGTTTAAATACAATATATACAGTACATATAATTTTAGAAAATGAGGCGTAAGAATATATACCTTATCTGAAACTGTAATAATTTCTCTAGGTACAGCCTTCTCCAAGTATGGATAGCATAAGACGGCCAAATACCAATGGGATCTAAGCGATTGTCAAGTTTCGACATAATTTTAATGATAGTATTACGTAGCTATAATCCTTAAAAAGCAGAAGTATACCTTTCATTGATAGGTATAACGATAAAGTCCTTCTGAAATAAATTAACATTTCTAGTCCAATTTTTGACATTTTCGTACATACAGGTGAGTCTGTCGTCAAATTAATACGTAGAGTTAAGTTGTAACTCATGGGTATATTAAATATATTCAAACGAGCTTTCATGATCATACATGTATAAATTTACAAACCTATCTTTAGAGGGTGACACCGGGCGCTGAGTTAAACGGTTATAAAAGAATGAGCTAAATATAAACGTGCGATTTCTATCTTCCTCATTTAGTATCTGTCTATGTATGTATCTATAAGATGAAGATACTCATTAATAACTTTAAGAGCTAAAAAGTATACAGAAATTTTAAAGCTATTACTTTAAATAAAATTCGATAATAACATCATTGAGGAATTCTCCCGGTTGGAGGCAAAGCAAATCGGATTTTGTGATATTAATGGCACCAATGCCGTCTTCCGGAAATGTAACTCTGATAAATATCGTATTTATTTTAATAATATGATAATTTAATATTTATAAAAGAGATACGGTAAAGTAAATACCCACTCTTTAGAGAAACTTTGCGAAAAAATTGGATGAAATTCGGCAGCAGATAGATATCTAGAAGATGGTGCTGCGAAATAAAGTTAAGGATAATGTACATCAGCAGCCTTGTTGAATAAACATTAAGTAAAGTGAAATACTTACATTTCGGCTTGTCAATAATAATCTGTTCTTTAAATTTGGGAATTTTGGTCATTTTAGTTAACTTATCGTATTCTTCCTTACTTTAAAATAGGTTAAGATGATAAATTTAATTACTAAATTTGATTCTGTTAAATACAATTTAAACCGTCTATATAGTAGACCTAAAAGAAATACTTTACCTTAACTCCTTTGCGTCATTCAATATTGATAATGTCTACCGTGAAACAACAGTGCAGCAGGTTTGGTTTGGAGCAAATATAAATAAAAAGTTATTTACAGTATCATGAATAATCGTACAGTTCAATCGCAATAAGTGGCATTACCGGTAATTCGCTAGAAGGGTGGTTTAGTCTTAAGACAATGTAGCGTTCATAGGTGGCTGAAGAAGGAAAAAATTTTTTGAAAGCCAAGGACAGAATAAGTACGACCATAACAATAAGACTATGTTACCTTAATAAATATATTCTATTTACAAACATAAGTTAGCTATACAGAATATAATTAAAGATTGATACCTAAGCTACCCGGATCAAACTTTTTATTGTATCTTGAAATATCTAAACGAGCAGAAATCCGATGAGCAACACAAGAAGTTGTCGTAATAAAAAATATTCCTGGAGGCTTATAGGTCTGACAGTCAGTAATTTCTTGAGAGAAAACTTTAAATTTCACTGAAGATCTAGTCATAGATACTATCAGAATCAAATAAGAACAGGTGGTTAGTAGTTTAGAAAACAGCATAAATACTAAGTAACGGGATTCAGAAACAGTGAAATCATCAATTTTTTACCTCCACGAAAGTCAGGATTCCACGATTCAAGTGTTATTGCATTTTTTTCAAACTAAAATTACATTTCATTGCAGAAATACAAAATAACACTAGCTCAAGTAACCATTACAAATTTATTTCGATTATGAAAATATCTACGACATAGAATGTGATTCTATAACCTTACCAAAATATAACGAAGGGAAATGGCTTCATAGGACCCAACTTGAATCGTACACGTGAATACGGATTTTTTACAATTCGCTGATGCTGTCGAACTTGTATTCTGTAACCAAAGTCAATTAATCAATAACTAATAGCTCCGTTCGTGACACAACTATTTTGGGAAGATGATTCGTTTAAGAACTAACTAACTCCAAAGATGTCAATACCTGTTCAAATAATCGTTTATTTGGCTTCGCTACCGATAGTACATCATTTACAGCGGTATAGAAGAATATGGATTAATGTACGTATGTACATAATAAATAAATATAAAGAAAGTAACCAACGTATAAATACCCATATAGTTCGGGCTGGAAAGTTCTTGTAATTTTTTCAGAAAATAACTATACAGTTATGAAATAGACGCCTTATCATCAGTAAATCAATCGCTATCCACTTTTAAAATTGTTAATAAACAGATAAAAGTTGACGATGATAATTTTAGCTTACGATTTTCCTTCCACTTTTACATACTTTAGCCCTAAAGCCTTGACTACCTAGGAAAAAGAATACACGAGTTACTCTTGTTTACATTTATAAATTGCTGAGCAACCTACCCGATTACTTACTTTATAGAAATCATGGCTACTTTGACTTTCAATCCAAATATACTTCTTGTAACTTGCTGTCAATGATAATAAAATTGTATATAATTGCTTGTATATTAAAGATACTTTAACGATAGTATCGCTAATAAATAATTATAACAAATAGACTATGTAAACAAAAGAAAAAACGCAAACGCATTTCATATTACGATCAAGTATGCTTCTAAATACCCGTAGAAACAGGATCATAAAGCCATGAATCCTGTTGATCATCATACAATAAAAGTTTCTCATTTATTTCCTTTGCAATTTTCTGTGATGTTCTCATGATCAAGTAAGGAAGATCCAAGGCAGCCTTACATTCTATTATGTCTTCATTTGGAATATCTACAGGGTATTTGAGATCTAAATCTGAAAGATTCCAAGTGTAATTTTAAAATCTTGTAGTACGAGTGAATCAATAACCATAGCATATCTAGTTTACCTTCTATGGTAATTGTAATTTTTTCACTAGAAATCTAAAAGATACAATATTATGTGATGTCAGCTAATTTAGTTATATTCATTCACTTCAACCGACTCAAAATATCTACATACAGTGATGGGAATTTCCGATGGCCATTTACGAATACCAATTCGTATCGCTTTCACTGCAATGGTAAACTTACAATCGTTTGGGTTACATTCCTTCGTCTTACCGTTTTCATGTAATATAATATTGAGGCAGTCAAGACCATATTCATGAGATATAGCCAAATATAATTGAAAAAACATTCAAATCCTAGCCAATATCGATCTACTTACCTTTATGGGATGATTATGATCCACTAAGTTTGTATTAATCTACAAAATGTGACATTGATTTGAATTTAAACTTGTTTGGCTTAAGTAACTATCGCTTTTCAAAGCATTTATCAAGGTAAAAAATTTGTACCGTATATGGTAACTTTTGAACGTCAGAGTCACATTTATGATCTTTCATTTGTTCAGAATTACTTGTCAGACTACTATTAACAGTATAATAGCTTTTATCGCTTCCTTCATTCGTGTCAACTTCGGAATTCATACTTTTCCGATACACTAATTCGTCATTTTTATCGCAGTCATCGTCCGAAGAATTTATCACGATGCATTCTGCGTAATAAAATTCTTTAAAAAAATTGGTATTAGTATGACAAATAGAAAGTGTGCTTGGCAAACAACTTCTTTAAAGCGATGTCTTTAATCATAATTTGATTTTACGAGATCAAAGGCTAACAATATCATATTGCTACGATAGTTTATTCGCCGTAAAATGTAATATCTTTGATTCTCACCATTTTGGGGGGATTCGGCTATTTTGCTACGTTTTCTAGCCGACTCTTTTATATCCAGTGATGATTTACTGAGTATTTTACTATTCGCAACATTGCCTTTACTTGTGTGTAGCTTATTAATTAAGGGCGATAGACTCGTTATTACAGCGCAATTTAAAATTTAAAATAAAAATTCCAAGTTATTAAATTAATGAACTGACCGAAGGTGATTGTATTGCTGTGGAAGCATTAGTATTTTTAGGTGGGGTAATGGCGTCTGCAGATAAAATACAACCTCATTACGTAAAAGTTTCAATATTAACATTTAGCATGAGCTCACGTATAGACTCTACGCAGCCATTGAAGATATATGCATACACACAACTTTAAAACTTTAAAACTGATATGAACTATAAGCCTTATTACCAAACTCATCCACCTCTAACAGAGTATTTCCAGAATTTTCACTTGAGGTTGAGCGTTTAATCTTTTGAAATAGAGAAGCGATAGAATTATAACAGCGTTATTAATATTTTTCTACGTTTTCCAGCTGACACTTTTATATCCGGTGGTGATTTACTGAGTATTTTACTATTCGCAAAATTGCATTTACTTGTGTGTGGCTTATTAATTAAGGGCGATAGACTCGTTATCACAGCGCAATTTAAAATTTAAAATAAAAATTCCAAGTTATTAAATTAATGAACTGACCGAAGGTGATTGCATTGCTGAGGGAGTATTAGTATTTTTAGGTGGGATAATAGCGTCTGCAGATAAAATACAACCTCATTACGTAAAAGTTTCAATATTAACATTTAGCATGAGCTCACGTATAGACTCTACGCAGTCATTGAAGATATATGCATACACAACTTTAAAACTGATATGAACCATAAGCCTTATTACCAAACTTATCCATCTTTAACTGAGTATTTCCAGAATTTTCACTTGAGGTTGAGCGTTTAATCTTTTGAAATAGAGAAGCGATAGAATTACAGCAGCGCTATTAATCAACGGCACGGCAATTAGTGACAAGCAACCATACATTTATATTTCATTTAAATACTTTTCATGAAACATATACTACTTACACAAATCGCTAAATTTCTTCTCAAACCTACGATCGAAGGTAGCATTAGAATGAAATTGAATTTATTTTTTATCCGTTCTACACCGATAGTATTCACTACCGTCAATGATACTACATCGAAAAACTTCGTAGTCAGTAAGCTAATCGAGATATTGTTTATCTTACTCGAATTCAGCGAAACTTTTCTTTTTGTACGTAGCATGGTCATTTTATCGTCATTATTACTATTGCTACGTTCTCGTGAAGGACTACCATGGCTATTAGAAAGCTAAAAAATAGATCAAAAAATAGCAGTTAATTACTTTGACGTCGATGAAAATTTTTTAAATATGAGACTTTTCAACACACGTAGTGATTATGACGCAAGATCTAATTACAAGTTCCGCATCAGGGCCGACTCACTATTAAATACAGTGATTGAATAAATATCAATTCGTTATTCATTAAAGCCACTA